TGACATTGGATTTTTATCACCATGACAACTGTTAGCTGTTTAATAATCTTTCTTCCTTCAACTCATATAAATGACCATATTGCAAACTTTTATGCACTTAAATTCCATTCTAATTACCTATAATTATTCTAGATATAATACTTAATTGTGCGAATTTAGAACATTTCAACGAAAATAAACCTGGTTTGGCGTGTAAACGGTAAATTAAGTAAATCACCTTTTTCGAAATAGGTATTGTTCAAACAAACAACTTTGATGCTTCATAGAAAGGCGCAAAACTCTAATTTAAGCGCGAAAAGACGGAGTTTCCGATAATGTTTACAACATTAGTTTTATTGCATTAGAATTTAAAAGACCAAAGTGCCCCCGTGCATTTCTAATTATATCTCCGGCAGTAGCGCTGCGAAAATAATCCATTAATCGATCGACGAATCGATGCTGCGAGTTTTCGATGCTATAATCGCGATCAGGGTGACATTTTCAAGCCAAAATATTGACCAATTAGTATAATGTCTACCGTTTTACCGGTTAACTCGAGATAAAATTTTACATGTTTTTTATCTCGTTTCGTGCTTTTTAGTTATGATGTATGTTTTCGGTTAGTAGGGGGTGATCGACAGAAAACAGACGAGAAACGTGGAGAAAGTTCATAGGCGGAGGGTACCAAAATTCGATTATATTTTTTTAAATCACTTTCACTATTAAAAAATCGTTAATTACACCGCATTCAAGTTAACAAAGTAATGATGTCACGGATAAATTAACACGAACCTATTATACTCGTACATTGTATTGATCTATTAAATTTGAATAAAAAATTCGACAATTAACCCGGCTAATGCGCCGCTGGTCTATCGAAATCGAATCCACCGGTTGTGAAAAATTAGCATCAGTCAAGGAGGTAAAAAGGTTTCGAACAACTTTTGGCTCCGATTATTAAACAAAGATACGAGAAGTAGGTGATTGATTAAAGTTTAAGATAACACACAGCGGGTTCCCGATAGGTTAAATATACCAGAAGTCTTCGCGATTTCGACGCGCCAGAAACGCACTTACGGTGCGACCGAGACGCCACTTTCTGTGATTTTTTCATGCAAAAAATGCGAGTTTTAATGCTCTTCTTCTTTGGCCTCGTCTGCCTCAGCCATTCGGCCACGGACGTCATTCTTTTGTCTCATCTCCCAGGGCTATTCGGCCATTCCATTTTTTACAGGTGCCCAAAAGTCATCTCTTTGCCTCATCAGCCGCGGCTATTCAGCCACAAACGAGCGAAAATTTAACAAAATTTCGGAGTACGACTCTGCGTAGATGTTCGGAACGGATTCCCGGTTTCGTTATTCAACGGGACGAACGCGAACCCATTTCGTATCGAAAATACTGCACGTTGAAGGGTTCCATACTATAAACTGTTACTGACTTATTATAAACAGATTATACGGCGTTAATTTATAGCTGTCTTTATTATTTCCCGTCTCATTACATACTGATTTTACGCGCTTTTTCCAGTTGCCGTTAGACGCTCGAATATCCTCTCCTATAACGTACATTTTTTTTTATAATTAGATTCGGAGGATCGTTAATTTTCCGAGGAATATTTTTCCGTGTTTAACGTCCTAATTTACCCGCGTAATTAACGGAATTAAAGGCGACTCGACCTCGAAACTGTTACAGCTAAATAATAAAAAAAATATACGCGTACATCTAAATAACGAGGAGGCATAAAATTTTATCGGGCAATATACGAAGTGGGGCGAATAATCGATTCCTTGTAGCATTTCGAATTTGTCGAAGGCGATTTCAAAGCGCCCGCCGGCCGATCAACTCGAAATTACTTTAAAAATCTGACGGGGATATCAATCGGTTTGCGCCGCGTCGAGTCAGCTAAATTCGCCCGATTTCGGTCCTATTGACAGATTAATATCGCTCCGCAGTCGTTCCATTTATGAATGCATCCCTTGTTTCTTATACCTACTTATTTTCGAAATGTATATCGTTAAATTGAATTATGTTTTTTTGGAATTATTTGCGTAGTAATTGTGGATGTTGCTCGATAAGTGTTATACTCCGTTCGCCATCAGGAAATGCAATAAATTCATAAAAAGTAGGCATTGAATTATATCATGAGGAGAAGTCTAGAGTGTACTTTACATTTCTTGGAGAATTTCCTTAAAAAAATGATCTCTTTACTCGATCCTCGAATTGAAACTAAACAGAATTCTAGACTAGCTATATTTAAGAAAACCGCATAATTAGGTAATTTCTCTCGAATGTTTGTGTATTTTGCGGTAATTAATAAGTGGTTACCCCGATGAAATTAATTTATACATAAATCAACCGAGTTTCCGTGTTGATTTCCGATTCGGAAATGAGACGTTCTCCTTATTTAAACTCATCATATCACACAGACAATTCGTCATTTCTGATGGCTAATTCTAACACAATCATATATAGAATTGTAACACAATGAAAACCGTTTAAAAGTTCAACATTCCACCAGAAGCGGGTTTTATGGACGGGATTTTCACACGTGAGCTTGGCGCACAAAAAACATCTGTGCATCCCCGAAACGTTTTAAGACCCACAATAAAATTTTTACTCCGCTCCCATTTAGTGCGCGTCCCATAAAACCGGTACAAATTGGTGCTGGAAACAACGGCAAAAACGAGCAGGGTCAGACCGATAAAAGGGCCATGTGTCGCGCGCTGGATGGCGCTCTAAACGCCGAATTTGCCACCCATGGAGCGCAATTGACCCAATCGTCAGGTTCCATCAATATTTTGACTCGAGTGACGCCGATCATCTCCGGCGCCAATCCACCGAATTTATCACTTTAGATGACGAAAACAACACGCTTAAGTTGGTAAAATGTTTATCTATTTACTACCTATTACTTCGTTCGTTATCAGGAGATGGTAATTAACTTAATTTTGTATGCAAATAAGCAGCACTTAATGAAATTCCAGAAGATTGTTTGTATGAAGATTGTTAAAACCTCCCTTGTTTGAAACACGTTGTATCTATTATGTAACACAGTTTTGAGGTAATAAAAAACCATCTTCATGCAGCTCTACAGGTGCTCTATAGGTATACTCATAATTCCTTTTAAGACAAAATATTTTCTTCTAAATTTCTTCCAGCAAATTCATCCATAATAATCCGAGTATTAATGATTTAAACCTCCCTAATTTGAAACACGTTGTATCTATTATCTAACACAGTTTCGAGGTAATAAAAAACCACCTCATGCAGCTCTACAGGTGCTCTATAGGTACTCATAATCCCATTTAAGACGAAATATTTTTTTCTAAATTTCTTCCAGCAAATTCAGCAATCATTCAGGCATTAAATAATTTAAACCTCCCTAATTTGAAACACTTTGTATCTATTATCTAACACAGCTTCGAGGTAATAAAAAACCATTTTCATTCAGCTGTATAGGTGTTCTTTAGGTACTCATATTCCCCTTTAAGATAAAATATTTTCTTCTAAATTTCTTCCAGCAAATTCATCCATCATCCGAGCCAATAATGATTTAAACCTCCCTAATTTGAAACACGTTGTATCTCTTATCTAACACAGTTTCGAGGCAATAAAAAACCATCTTCATGCAGCTCTATAGCTGCTCTATAGGCACTCATAATCTCCTTTAAGACGAAATATTTTCTTCTACATTTCTTCCAGCAAATTCATCCATCATCCGAGCATTAATGATTTAATTATAGGCCCAATCGTTTCGCATTCGCCGTTCCATTTACTCGTAAACAAATCTCGCGTTCGGCGTCGAAGTCAAAGGCCCGCTTTTGGAAACGCATTAGCCCGGCGATCGCGCGACCTTTCATTTCAGAAAGCTTCTTTTTGATATCGAATCCACCGCGAGCTTTCCGCATTTGTTTGTGTATTTTGAGCGAGAAGGGTCGCATTGCGTGCGGGTGGGTGGTCGAATTAGTACACAAACGGATAGATTAAAGCCGATCGTTTCGATTATGCCGATGAATTTATCCACAATATCCCGGTTTTTAAATGAATATTGGAACTTGAATATACCTACTTAGAAGCTTGCATGAGGTAGTCTTCAACGTGTTCAACAATAATTCTCTCTATTTACGAGATTGGTGTGGTTCTTGAGGATTTGTTTGAGAGAAAAATGGGTATACCGGGCAGGATTTGAATCGAATACGGTCCTGCTGGTATCGAGTTTGCATCTCGTCTTCCAGCGTACAGTAGTAGAAACACCCATTCGTCGGGACACTCCGCCTTCGTTGTTGTCGAACCGACGCCCACAAATCGGTTTCTACTGGAACGATCGCCAATCTACCGTATCCGAAATCTCCGCAACTTCCACACGTGCGAAGTATAATTAGATCGATCCGACTCCGATCAATTCCGCCTATATAAAATCGCTATTCGTTCCAGGCGTTTTTACCTCGGATTTTTTGTACACTCTGTATAAAAACGAAGATTATTGATTTTTTTGTATTTAATGGTTGTTAATAAGTTGTTTAATTGTAATATACCAAACGATTTTTTTGATTAACTTGCGTTTGTGCATAACGCGCCGTTTGGACCGTAAGTGTTGAATTTGATTGTAATAAAATTTTTTTTATACAATTTTGCTTTTTATGCGTGAATAATAATACGAATAATTTATGGTGCAAAAGTGTAGTAGAATAAACAATAAAATATTCACATAAGACGAGTGTAGAAAAAAAAATTGTCGCACATGTTATTCGGATAATTCCCACATGGAATTAGATGAGCGAGTATATGATCGACTTAAATTTAGTAAGATCGACGCGAGTAGCATCGAATCTCGTGTAGCTAAGTCCAGCCCCCACGATGCGCCGAAACCACGCCTGAAAAGCGCTTTTTCAGTACGCCGGAGAAACATCTTAAAACCACACACTCCAAAGCACAACTGTTTTTCGCTTCGCCACGTTTAATTCGGTATCATTCAAATTCGAATTGTATACATATAAAACTATATATTGTATATATGGTGGCACATTTGTATATAAACTGAATATTTGTGTATACAATCCAGTGTACTGTTTGTACTATAAAGACCCGATCTTTTAAATTGTTTAGTTTTCCAAGTGTAAATGTTTAAAGTATGATGAAGGAGCAGAGTGAGAATAATTCTGGCAGTCCGGCGTCGTCGGTAGTGCTCCAGCAGCATTTGCACGGCTTACACATCCACCAGAACCCGCCGGAGTCCATCAGGCTCCACCAGAACCATGCCGGCGTCATCCTGCCCGCCGGCGACCAGCAGCAGCAGCAACAAAACTCGCCGCAGGTCGTCGAATCCACGCACGACGACTCGAAACCCACCAGCAGCGACAAGAAATCCGGCATCAGACGCCAGGAGAAGCCGCCGTACTCCTACATCGCCCTCATCGTGATGGCCATCCAGCACTCGCCCACCAAGCGGTTGACCCTCAGCGAGATCTACACGTTCCTGCAGCAACGGTTCCCGTTCTTCAGGGGCACCTACCAGGGCTGGAAGAACTCCGTGCGCCACAATCTGTCGCTCAACGAGTGCTTCATCAAGCTGCCGAAGGGCCTCGGCCGGCCGGGCAAGGGCCACTACTGGACGATAGATCCGGCCAGCGAGTTCATGTTCGAGGAGGGCTCGTTCCGGCGGCGGCCGCGCGGCTTCCGCCGGAAGTGCCAGGCCATGAAGCCGCAGTACCATCCGGGATCGTTCTTCGCCAATCAGATGGTCAACCAGACGGCCTACGATCACCAGGCGCTCATCCAGGCGCAGGAGTACAACAATTGTTCGTACAACAACGGCGCCGCGGCGCAGGTGCCGGCCGTGTCGAGCGGTCACTATTCCAATTACGAGTACCCGTCGGTGTACCAGCAGCAGTGCGATCGCGATTGGAGCACCGCCGGTTTGTTGCCGGCTTATTCGGACAGCACGATCAGCAGTACTTACATGAAGGCGCCCCTGAGCCCGATGCCCGACAACCAGGACGCCCCGTCGCCGGCGCTCAACGACGGGTACTATTCCTACGGCGGAATTAGCACCACTTCGTCCGAAAATAGTAAGTCATTTTTTTAATATTTCGGTTGATTCTTCAAGATAGTTTCGCGAAATTATTTTCGTATTAATTACTTATTTTACGACCGCAAAGTAATAAATGTATTGACGAGCCGATGAAGAATATAAACCGCGCAAATCAATCTCGAAATTCCTCATTTTCTCGAACAATATTCTATTTGACCACCCGCAATTCGTGAAACAACTCCTTATCGGGCCGGCCGTGTAAAAACCTCTTTCTGCCATCTGTCAACTTAGTCGGGATAAAAGCGCCTACTCGAATTACCCGATAAACAAATTAGCGCCAACTCGAGTCGCCGTCAATCAGTCACAAAACGAAAAAAGATATATTTCCCGTCTCGGTGTACTAATAAATTTTCGCTCCAATACAAAAAGGTAACGATTATCACGACAAGAAGGGCTAAATTAGTTCGTAATAATAAACCAGATAAAGGCCCGTTCGCAAGAACTTTTGGCAGTTGACAGTTTAATGACAGTTATCGATTTTTTTATGTATATTTTTCGATACGATTAATTGTAAAATTCGTAATATTATTATTTTATTATTGTTATTTTCAAATTTTCGAATAATTCTCGTTATTTTGATAAATTAAAAGTTAAATGAAGTATACAAATGTACGAATTAAAAACTTTGACATATACTTTCGATTAATCAAAAAAATAATCGATTACTCCTGTCAAGCTCTTGTCAATAAAAATTCTTGATGTACCAAAAACGTTTATCACGAAGATTCTTTAAGAAAAAACTGTATAGAAAAAGAAATTTAAAAGTCAATTCTTCATCGTAAAACAATACATAATATGAAAATGATTCCTAAATTACCTACATCATGAATGATTTGATCTTGATGAAGTATTTTTGTCCTTTCAGTGATGAGGCCATCAAGTAACCCGGTGCAGCAAATTCAATGTGATAGAAAACCGTATTTGAGCCCGCCGCCCCCGACGATTCCGGCGTCGCTGCCGTCGCCGGCGTCGGCAGGCAACGCGCACGCCTTCTACGAAAGCGCCGCCGTCAAGTACACCATGTAATTTATACGAATTTTTATTTATTATAATCCAGAAGAGGCCTGTATTGGATACTCCGTTAAGACGACGTAAGTGTATAATTAAATCCCTAATTAGTATACCGAATAGTTTTAAGTTTTACGGCGAATTAATTAATTTATTTGGTGAAATATTCGATGTTATAGTTACCGTTTCATGTACCTTTTAAATTGGAATTTAAACGCATCATTTTTATTTGTTGTAAATAGTGTATTAGGAGTGAGTAAGTTTTATTTCTATCGTTTGTTAAAAATTGAGACTATCAATAAATTATTATTTTTAAACGCGGTATATTTTTAAAATTGCAATTGCGGTGGGAATGTGACTAATTATAAAGTCTTATCGGGATTATGTGACACATTCGGAGCGGTTTTGCGGCGAATTTCCACGAAAATTGGCGCTATTGCAGCGCAATTATTGGGAAACTTCCCCGGTTTTCTTGTAATCGAGGAAACATTGCGGAAAATCACATTCCGAGTCTATTTTAAGAGCGCACCGCAAATCGATCAGACATTTCAGCGCTTCGTGCTTATCTTGAATTAGTAAATTATGCTGATATCCCACCAGAAAATACAGAGTGGAACAAATTTTCATTCGTATACATAAAACTTCATCATTTGTACACACCCTGTATATTATTTTACAGCTGCTAAAATCCACCAATTTATTGTTTATGGGATATTATTAATTATATACAAATTTGTTAAATTGCAGTATATTTTTTATGAATTTTCAGTATAATTTGTTTACGTATTTTTCGTAATTTCGAAGCGATTTATGTGGAAATGCCATTAGTTTAGCGGGATTTAAACAAACTTTCGCGTCTAAAAATAAAGACGATATTCGATGGAATTCGCGTTATCTACACGAAAATGTCGGGTATATCGCAGAAGAATTATTATCGTATAATAGCCGGGAAAATGGATGCTTATGCGAGACCGTTAAACGAATATCGGTCCTCTATAAATAGGGCAATTGAAAAGCGAAAAAGATACAGAAGAGGCTTTTTACTTTTCGAAATTACGAGGTGTCGACGATGCCACTTTACTGCTCGACGAAAGCTACTAATGATTACTTCAAATTAAAATATTGCATCACGTTTTCACAGAATTCTAATGCCCGGACGAATTATACACGCTTTATATACTCTCGCGTATATTCCAAAATTATTGTTGTTTCGTACTTAAAAAAATTAGATATCAATTTTCCCAAAAACACGCATTTTATGCGAATAAGTGGGACTTTAAGATGCTTTCGATGATACCTACATAAACAAAAACTGTCAATATTGGCATTAATGACATTTCGTGACACATAATGACAGAAGTTTAATAGAGGTGGTAATCGATTGTGTGGTGTAGACGTGCTGTTACAAAATAACCGGTATTTTTCGAATATTGTTCTCCCGATTACTCTACTCGAAATTAATACACATTTCAGGTACAGAGATTATTATTTTGTTGGGGAATTGTGTGTCTTTTTTTCAACAAAGAAAATCCCTAACAACATATGCCTGTACATAGGTAAATATATTTGTATTGACAGTTTTATTAATACTTCACCGACTTGTCCACTTAGATTAAAGTTTTCGTGATTTATAAGAGCAATAAAACACTTAAAACTGGAAAGAACCATTAGTAGAACGCCCCTAGACAAATTAGGCGAGACACGCACTGTGCACTATGCCTTCAATCGTCATGTTCTACGAAAATTTGGCCGAAAAATTCGTCAAAAACCGCTTAAAATTCACCGTGTACGCGTCGGTGTTGCTCGGCAATTTCCCGTACTGCTGCAGGAAGAGCAACGAACTCGACAGAAAATCGAAGATACTTGTATCCCTTTTGAAGTACCTGTGGGGCTTCTATTTCCTGGTGTTGACTGTCTTGGTCCTGCAGCGATTGCAAAGCTATTCGACCGACAGTTTCTCCATATTCCAATCCCTCGCCTTCGTCAGGGAATCCTTCTACTTGCACTACGTCTTCATGTCGCTGAAGAGCCTTTTCCACGGCAAAAGGAAGCAGAGCCTGGTCAGGCTGCTCGGGAAAATTCACCGGTACTCGAAGAAAACCTCGGCCACGACCAGCATTCGTTTCAATGGGTTCGACGTCGTTTTCGCCATTTTATACATCGTTTTGATGGTCACTTATATTTACCAATTCGGATTTGTAATGAGTCCTTCTACGCCTACTTTGCAGACTTTTTCGTTGGTGCATCTTTTCAAGTATAATCTGGAGGTGGTCCTGCTGTACACTTTTTTGAGGCAATTTGGTAATTTTTATGCAGATATCGGCAGGGCGCTCGATAAATTGTTCGATGAACAGGTAAGTTGGTAGTACTGATCAAATAATTAATCATGTTTGAGCCAACTATGAAGCTCTTTTTACAAAATTTGTTTGGGCCTCTCTGTATATGTAAGGGTAGAATAATTGTTTTTGTTGTAGAAACGAAATATATTTGTGTGCTCGAGAAACCCGGGTTATTTGAATGACTACTTAACAGGCAGCCAAATTCGAAATTTGGGCAAACGAATCTTGTCTCTCTATGAACTAATGGAGGATTTTAATGTTTTATACGGCAGTCGTTTGTTGAATTTATTCGCAACCGTAATACTGATAATTTTAACCAAAATTGACGCAATAGCGTCGTTTATTGAATTAACAATTATAATCACTTTTGTTGTAAGTATTTCATCTGTTTATTATCATCTCTCTCTGCACTCGAACTTACAAGAATCACCCTGTATTACTGTTACTCTACAGATTGATACATTTTTAGAATATCGCATTATCCTTGATATTCACAAGCGATGCGATAATCACAGAGGGCCAAGACATCTTCAATGCGGCTTATTGGTTCTATTTGCAATCCCCCGATCCTTCGCTGCAGAAAGAGGAACTGAGAAGGTTCATCTTTAAAATGAAATATCTAACTCCGGTTATATCGGCTGCGGACTTTTTTACCATAAAGAAGAGCACTTTGACGGCGCTTTGTAGCGGCCTTACCACCCATTCGATCGTTATGATTCAGTTGGGTTATTCCAAATTTAACAAACACGTAACCCATTAGATGCCATAAAGCACCTACTGAAGCTATTAATATATTCGCTTGATTGTTTTCTTTATATTAAATTGTAGCAACGCTAATAAAGTGTGATTAGTATGACGTATCAATTTTTTTAAATCAATCAATGTGGGTTGCCTATAGATCAGAGGATAAAGTGGTTGTGGATGTGTTAAATAAAAGGCCATTTAAATTGAAGAGGTGTGTATGACGGATGAAATGTCACTGTCATTGTCAAAATTTGAAACGTCTACTAAACAAATTGCAAATTAATCAATTTACCAAACCAATATCAAACTAATCTGATGAACTTTTGACCTACACCGTTGAAACAAGAAAGTTAATTAAGTTATAATTAGAAACAATGGCCTCCAAAAAGGTATGTTCGAAATTCCGTATAATTTAAATATCGTCTCTAGTCTATTGATTTATCCACCCTCTCATTATTGATCGATTATCGCTTTCTTTTAGAATAAAAATCAGAAAGTAAACGTTACCGTTACCGCTACCAAAAAGAGAGGTTTCCCGTACAAATACTTTTTGGCCGGAATTTGCCTGCTCGCAAGTGTTATAACTTACGATGTTAAGCAACAAGGTAGAATTTATATTTTTAATTTTAACGCAGGACGTAAGTTAACTAAAATTGTATTTTTAGATAGTTTTATTAGGAGCCAGTTAAAGGAATACCATGTTTGCGAATACACGCATATGGCAGTTGATAAAATAAACGATGGTTTGCAGTGGTCAAAATCGAAGGTCGAGGAACAGTTTCCGGGGCTCGAACAACGTATAATCCTGATTTCTGAACCTTATGTTAACCTATCGGTGAATCTATCTAAATTGGGGCGCAACTTTTTCTGCAATTTGAAAAACAACCTTCTAGAAAGCTCACCTTTTTTGCGACAAGCAGTAAGACGAGCGGTTTTTTTTATAAAATGCGATTTAATTTTGATTCTATTTTAGATCGATAAAGATATTCCTGAGTATGTGTCATATACGAAAGATGTTTTGCATAGTGCATCTTTAACGGCGATTTCGTACTTGAGCAAAAGTTGCGAATATTTGAAGAATGAAGTTTTTGTGTATGTTAAAACGCCATTAGTAATTCAAAGTTAATTGGAGAATTATCGTATTCAATTGACTTTGGAAATGCTATAAGATTTTGTTTAATTTTAATGTTTGTTGTAGTGGATCTTTGTCACCTGAAAACATGCAGAAGACATTAGTAGATGTATTGATTTACACGAGAGACAAAACTGTGGAAATTTACAATTCACTTTATAAGGAACTCTCATCGATCTTCAACTAAATTGGAGTAAGTTTCATTTTTTTCCAGTCGGAGTATTTGGAATCTTCACTTTTCGAAGAACTTTCATCGATCTTCATTATTGTATTATTTCTTAATAAACAATACATTTAATTGAACATTTCGATGATGATGATTCTATCAAAAGAAACAATGAACAATTGTCAGTCTTTAATTTTAACACTAGATAACACTTGATTTCTAGGCGAAATATTACAATCAAAAATCGGCAAAATTTTCGAAAAACAACCATTTTCCAAAAGATACAACAACCTATCTAACAATATAACATTCTCGACGACAGGAGCCAATAACAACCTAATCGAATAAAAAACCACAACGTTGCTCCAAGTTTCGATGATAATGTTCTCGTACGAATCGATTTTCTCCTCGCCTAATATGTGCAGCTTATCACAGACTTTTTTAACATAATCCTTGAAGGTTAGGTTTTTATCGCATTTAGCCCCGCACACCATCGAATGCCTCAAACTCGAATCGGCCGCCACGAGTATATCCTCCAGGGCGGCCCTGTAGGCGTGAATTTTCAGCTTCTGGTACTCCTCCGCGTTGTTCAGCCTCTCCGAGTAGTTTTCTATAGCGTGGCACGCGATCTCGCAATCCAAATAAGACAGCGCGAATCGCCTGCTTTTGCAGAACTCGCTCAAAGGGAAATAGGCCTCGTCCATCGGCTGTAGGGTTATTTTCATATAGCAACAACTGGCTATGTTGATGAAGAGTATGTTAGGGCAGTTTGCGTATAGCTTGAGAAGTAAGGCACCCAGATCCCCGCAGGGGTGTAGCCCGACCAATCCGAATTTAACGTTGTCGTTGTCAAAGGACTTTGCGACGCAGTTGAGGAACTCGTCCCGGATGAAATCCTCGCTTATTCTTCGGTTTATGTGGATTGTTCGGAAGACGCTTTTGTGGCGAATGTTCCGCTTGTTTAAGGTTTGTTCGAAATTGCTGTCCATTCGCCTGGCTAGGTTCGTGAGGGATTCGACGGCTTCGAATGTGCAAACGGAGAAGCCGTATTTGTAAGAAAGCATCCTGCTGAGGTGGCCCAGTCCTGAGCCAATGTCGACTATTCGGAAGCAGTTTGTTTTCTGAGCCGAATCGTGGCACAATTTGGCCATTCGGTCTATTTCGTGACGTTTTTTCAATTTCACGTTCTTCCATAGGAAGTTCATGAATTTACTGTCATCACTATTTGTGGAATTTCCGAGCGATTTCCTCGACAAGATGTTGTTTGTTATGATATTTCGTAGGCAAAGTAAAGTCAAAGGGTATAGTTTCTTGTGGAGCGGGTTCGTCAGGTCCAATACGTTGCTCAGATCGGACACGTCGATGTTGCCGAAAAAGCTTTTCCATGAGGTAGATAATTTGTTCCAGTGGTTTTCCAGGTAATAGTCGGCTACGTACGAATTTAATATGTCGCTATACAGTTCGCGGATTTTGTATAAAATTTCTAAACGAATTTGTGTAGCATTTAGGTTTTGGTCCATTTTTATAACCTAAAAGTTCTACAATCTTCTTTGAAAATTTTGGCCTCTGCTGTCTTTACTATTCAGCCATTTTTGAAAGTACTTGACCTGTCAAGGCAATCATTTATAAAACTGACTAAAATTACCGATTCAAATGTTTGGTTTTGGCAAAAATACTTAATTTAATTAATAAAATATAATAGTTAAACTGTAAATTAATATAAAATATTTCTTCTTATAAAGTACTTTTTCTAATTTGTCACGACTCATTCTCAGGCACTATAATTTACAGAGTTATTTCGTTTCCTCAAAACCCTCTTCGGTAAAATGCTTTCTTCCTTTAAAGGTTCCGCATTTTTAGCCTTCCTTTTTGTTTTCCCCTGTTTTTCCCTTCCCTCTTCAATCGGCTCAATATTTTCTTTACTTGAGGAAGCTTCATTACTCGAAGACTTCCCTTGATTCCTTCTCTCTTTGATTTCTCTTGTAGTTTTCTTTTTCTTACTGGTTTCAACAGATTCTTCTTCATCCTGTTTAGTATTCTTACGTCTCTTCGGTTTCATATTGGTCTCAGCCGATTCTTCCTCATCCTTTTTAGTATTCTTTTTTGTCGTTTTACTTTTTTTATTTGTTTTTAGAGACTCTTCTTCAGTGGGTTCCATTACTTTGTTATTGGTGGCAGGTTTATTCCTCCTTGTAGATCTAACAGGTTCCTTTAAGGTGTCTTCAACGTCATTACTCAACTTGCTTTTCTTAATGATTTCGACAGATTCTTCTTCATCCTGTTTAGTATTGATCTTACGTCTCTTTGGTTTCATATCGGTTTCAGCTGATTCTTCGTCATCCTTTTTAGTATTCTTTTTCGTTGTCTTACTTTTTTTATTTGTTTTTAGAGACTCTTCTTCAGTGGGTTCCATTACTTTTTTATTGGTGACAGATTTATTCCTCCTTGTGGATCTAACAGGTTCCTTTAAGGTTGCTTCAACGTCATTACTCAACTTTCTTTTCTTAATGGTTTCAACAGATTCTTCTTCTTCTTCTTTGGCAGGCTCTTCTATTTCTTTACTGGTCTTCTTTCTTTTACTGGTTTTGGTCTTTGTCTTACTAGATTTATCGGATTGTTCTTCAACGGTTGGTTCAGATTCGGGTTCTTCTGATTCCTCTTTGGTTTCTTCGGGTTCCTTTTTGGTTCGGAGTTGCTTTCTAGAAGTTTTTTTAGCAGTTTTCTTAGTAGATTTAGCTTCGACAGGCCCTTCTGATGACTCATCAGCAATTTGATCGTCTGTTAATTTCCTCAGGCGCCTAGTCTTCCTGGCCGGTTCGGTTTTCTTGTTGCTGTCATAATAAGTCACTTCTTCAACAATCCTGAGTCTTCTCTTCCTTATGCCGGTTGCTTCAGTCCTATAAACACTCAGTTTAGAAATTTGTAGTTACTTTTATCATTCACACTTACGTTTTTTCAACCCAATTTTCCACACTGGGGTCCACATAAACGGAAATGTTGTAGTTAGTTTCGGTTTTTTCGGGCGACGACTGTCCTCTGCAAAACACAAAATAAACAAACACAAACATCGCTAGTTACAAACTCGTTTACCTGTAGGTTTTCAACGGAGCCTTCTCAAACACTTTCGAAAACAAATCGGCCACTCCTTGATAGTCCGGTTCCCGCTCTTCCTTCGGAGTCTTCATCAACTGCCTCACCCCTCTGACGTCCGAAAGGTCATTGGATGGCTCTTTAACCGGTTTAGGTGTCGCCATGATCTTTTTAACTCCCTGTACATCGGACAAATCATTCCTGGGTGAGTTTTGAACTTTCGGCGTCCTCAATAATTTTTTCACGCCTTTAACGTCGGTGAGGTCGTTTAGAGGCTCCTGCGGAGCCTTCGGAGTGGCCATTATTTTCTTTACGCCTCTAACATCGGTCAGATCGTTCAAGGGTTCCCTTTGCACCTTCGGCGTTTTCAATAATTTCTTCACACCTTTAACATCGGTAAGGTCGTTCAAAGGCTCTTTTAAAGGCTTCGGCGTGGCCAGGATTTTTTTTACTCCCCTTACATCGGTTAGATCATTTCGAGGCTCTTTTAGAGGTTTCGGCGTGGCCAGTATTTTTTTTACTCCACTTACATCGGTTAGATCATTTCGAGGCTCTTTTAGAGGTTTCGGCGTGGCCAGTAAATACTTCACACCCCTCAAATCGGTGAGGTCGTTCAAAGGTTCCCTTTGCACTCGAGGCGTTTTCAGCAATTTCTTCACACCTCTAACATCGGATAGATCGTTTAAAGGTTCCTTCGGAGGTTTCGGGGTGGACGTCAAATTTTTCCGGCCTCCGGCCTCTTCCTTTGGCGTTTCGGACAATCGTGCGAACGTCAGTTTGCTAGTCGATGCCTTCTCGGAGCTGACCGGAGTGATGTCTTCGAGGATGGGACGATAAGGAGTGTTCGAAGACCTTGATTAAACAATTTTTATAAGTAATACGATATTAATATAATTAGAAAATATTACCTTTCTGATGTATCGATCGATTCCTCGGTACTATCTTTAATAGAAAGCACAATTGGATCTTCTGAAGCATTCGAACTCGTACTCGAACAACTCTGCATAGTACTATCGTTAGATTCTTGAGTAGTATCGTGTAAGGATACAATTGATATGCTCTCCGAGGATTTGACATTCTCCATCGTCTTTTCTTCGACAGTTAAATCGCAAGTCGAGTCAGAGATATGGCTGTAATTCGATTTGGAGGCTCTCAAGCTGCATCTCCTCGAGAAAACGGGTGTTTCTAGCGCCAGATTGGCCAAAACGGGACCCTCCGGAGCAATCGGTGACGGTAATTCCTCGTAGAGACTGCTCGAATCGTCGGCAGGCAGGGACTTTTTGGAGCTCATCGTCGATTTACGCGATTTGTTTATGTAGGGAGTCGTAACGGCGGATTCGGCGGCGGTTTCGTAATCGTTCTCGGACATTAAAGTCGAGTTTCCTTCGACTGCGGAATTATTTTTCGATCTCAATGGCTTAATAGGCGATGGTAGGTGATCTAACAGCAACGATTTCGAGCTGCGCCTTGACGAAAACCGTTTAGTCGGGACAGGGGTTTTTAAAGTCCCCTCTAGGTCTATGAGATCGGTTATTTCTTCTGCTTCCCTGAAGCTTTGGGCGCCTTTTTTGGCTGTGGAAGTTTTGAAATTGTATACAACCGATTCGTTAGGTGCGGCAGTTTGGTTTAGTAGCTCTTCGAATTCGGTATTTTCCAGGTTACCTATCGTAGAATGATTTACTTTTGTCGACAATTTAGATAGAGATTGTGTTGTAGATTGATCTGTAGGTGGCGCTTCTTCGTCAACTTCAGTACATTCCATGTTTTCTACCGTAGAAGGGTTTTCCTTCAATGATAATTTAGATGTATTGGACTTAGAAGGTGTACGAATCCCAAGCGACATGCTTGCGGGTAATGATATCTTCGCTTGTTTGCCAGCGGAGCCCTGGAAAAGCGATTTCGAAGCGGCTCTTACTGGAATCAACGAACCCGGCAATTTTCCTCTGTTTCTGCAAAGACATTGACATTAACGTAACTCGACAAAAGCATGTTAAGCTTACTTTAAAAAGCTTTTAGTACCGCCAGAAAAATTCGGTATTCTCGTTTCGGGTTTCTTCTTAATGCTGGATAAAGAACTCCTCGTTGCAGGTTTGGGGTTGCCGTATTTGCTTTCGCTTTGTACCAATCTTACATTTTTCGTTTTTGGAGTCTTCTGCACATCGTTCTACAAAGGTAACAATTAGTATCACACATAAGCAGCGTGAAGAGTATATCAAACACTTACAGAATTGTATTTGAATATCTTTCCCATCATATCGACTGTATCACCATTTTGCAGTCGATGGGATTTTTCTACGATTTCATCGTTTACTTTTATGGGATTCGATTTGCTCATGTTGAATATGGTAGCCTAAAAATGACATATAAGGTCATATAAATATGTAAAAGTAATGTCAAAAGTTTGTTAAATCAAAATGGCGACTTAATTGAGGTGAAGCTTAAAATTTCCAACTTAACAACTTACTTTGCCATTCCTTTCCACAATGATTGTGCAATGTATGGATTCTAATCCTGGTACATTGCCATATCGAATATCGGCCTCATCGGAAGAGCCGATCTTGATTTCATCTTCTTGCAAATAGTAGTTTTTGATACCATTTTTGAGGATAATGGATAGAGATCCAAATCCGCAATTAACATTACTCGTGTTCATTGTTTATGCACGCAAATAACAATACAATACAAAATACTTTTAACTTCTTTTAAAAAATCCCAGCTTACAAGCTTTAGTACTACAAATGACCCGATCACATCACAAAAACAACTATTATAAAATGAGAGCAACGGAATTTTTTTAAATTTAACGGTAAAGTCTGTCAATTGTGTCAAATCGACAGTGTCGTAAACATAATTTTTTCCTAAATTAGTCAGTAGTACCAACCGTTTAGGCAACCAAATTTTTACAGAATAACCAAACGATCATGGCTATCAATAAAAAAAGAAGAAGAATCGTTAAAAAAAATAAATAGAAGTGAGCGGAGCACGATTATTTGAGGTTAAGTTTATGGTGAAAATTCTCAAAAAATATTCGAAAATGGAAGTAGAAAACGCCGATTTACCGCAGCACATCGCGATAAACTCCTTCGCGACGGCCAGAGCGCGGGAAATTCAAGTGATGAACAAAGCCCTCGCTACCTCTACTACAGTGAAATTAGCGTTTCAGAAGCTCCCGATGCACATGCGAAGGCGAGCGATGTCGCACAACGTAAAAAGGCTGCCCAGGCGAGTCCGCGAGATCCATTTAAACCAACAAATGAAGTCCGGAATACCCCCAAAGCACAAACGTCCATCTAGAAAGTACAGACGTAGACCGTACAATCTCATTAATGAATATACTAGAAGACAACGGAGAGTTGGTTGGTTGAACACCCACATTTGGCACGCAAAAAGGTTTCACATGACCGAGAAATGGGGCTACAGAATTCCGTATTCCCCTTGCGATAAAGCTTTTCGAGCTTGTTACAGAGCGACCAAACAACATTGTTTGGTACAAGACATTTCTTACAATAACTGCTTGGAAATCGAGGGCGATTTCGATTACATTGTAGAGAACTTGAACCGAATGACTGATCCTCGAACCGGTTTATCGATATCCGCTAAATGTTACACGGGAGGTTTACGAGAAGGGAACGCAATCCTTTTTAGACCCGATAATAGAAAGGTTATCGGTAGCGTTTCGTTTTACTGGAGACCTAAGAGTAACGATAGCAACACGAGAAATATATGTTTTTGGTGCCATCCAGCTTTCTATGACGAACTGCTAAATATATTCATAAAGTGTTGTGAATTACAACCTTGCACGAGTGCTAACGACACCGGAGATGTAGATAAATATGCTAATAGTCAAATTACATTGAAGATTTTGAAATGGGAACTCTGCAGATTCAGATTAACGGGGCCTCTTTCCAACGCTATTCTTCACGACGCCTTTAAATTACCCGATAACTCACCCATGCAACCCGAGTGGCTGCGGACGCATTTGAACAATCCCTTATCTGCAACATCGCGGGAGTTCTGGGAGAGCACCGAATGCATTTCTTCGCCTTCGGAAGTCACCCCTCACATTATCTTACCTCTAATAATCGCCGATCCTCGGTACTATTTTACGAAAAAACGAGGCAAAGTTCTGCCAGTTCTAACCGAGGACACCATGAATTCATCGATGAGCACAAACTTTTCGGAGAGCCCCATTTGGGAGGAAACTGTTCGACAAGCAGTACGAGAGAGTAAAATATCCAATGCCAAATTAGACGAACTAAGGCAACAACTACTCGTGCCCGGTACCATTTTGGATATGGTACCAGCGAATATACCCGTTTTGTTAATTCAAGTACCCGGCAAGAAGACTCGAGAATATACAGGTACTTTATTATACCTATGTATTTTAATAGAGACTATTAAAATTGGATTTTTTTCAGGTTACGGAAGCGGCTGGGATATAGTTTTCCCATCGGCTTGGGCTCAGCCGATTTGGCTGTCTCTCGTGATGCGCGGAGGAAGATCGGGGGGTTTGAGACAACACGAGCACTTGCTGTTCGAGTTGGATTCCCATCGGTTCTTGTACCCGGACAGTTCGAGTGGAGAGCAGGAAGAACGCGACGCTTCACTAAAATTAAAAGAGCGCTACTTCAAATTACCGCCGAACAAGCGCACAAACTTCGCTAAATTCAAGATATCCAGCCCGTTCGATTGGAATTGGAAGTTGCTGCTAAGCGAATGGTCCGTTACCAAAAATCCAATCGAAGATTTCTTCGTATTGCGCGACAAAACTGCCCTGAGGGATCTGCAAGTAATGTTGTCGAGAAGGGATCGAAACGATCGATTGCTGGAATCTCTCGAAGACAACTGTTTGATACCCGTTAAAGTGACTTTGATGAAGAAGGGCTGTTGTCAAAGATTTTCCATAATATGTGTGCCGCGTAGGGAAGATTTCAAAGCGGAGCCCTGCGAGCCGAACTGCAACGATCCGAACGAATCGGCCAGGAAGTTGATGCGGAAAGAACACAAAGTGTTGCTGGCGAGATTGAAGCGAAAGAGGAAGAAAGGGCGACGAAAAGGAGAAGTTAGTAACGATTTACGTTAGAAATAAATTATTAAAACGATCTGTTTTAGGTTATTCCGATAGATAAAGAAGCGTTGAAGAGCTACACGAGCGCAATGAGGAAATTGTGGTTGCCGGAGGCTAGTCGTATAAGGAGTTCTTGCTCAAGAGAGGTAATGGGATTCGTTAAATACGGCGATTTCAGTCTACTGGAAGCAAAGAGCAAAGCTCTAGGGTATATCACTGCAAACTCTTTATCGGTGCTATTAAATACGGGTAAAAATAAAGTATTAGTGAGAAACACCAATTCTAAACAATACAGGCTGGGCACCTTGGAAATTTTAAACGAGTAACAGTGCCCCATTTTCTAGTTCGTTAAGTGTAAATAGGATTTGTTAAATGAAAGTTTCTCAATGATAATTACAGTTTTATTTTCACGGTAATAGAATTATTTAAACTATAATTAAATTTAGAACGGAAATGAAATCTAGAGGAAACGTTCAAAGGAGGAATGTTTACAGGCGGGGGTCGTATAGTGTTCTTAAATTAACTTAAATTAACAGCTACACACTTATTATTTTGATTTGCTCAGCTACAAAACGCAGGATTCCAGTTATAATTAAATAAAGGTTTCGGGCTACTAGGAGAGACTCTCATTAAGTTAATTTCAGAACAATCTAACGGAATTCGAAAGTATATTTTATTGCAATTCGTACGTTTTCTCAACGTAACGCATTCTCGAAATAAAAACAATCATTCAATCCGTTCGAAATGTCGATATTAAAAATATTTCTGTGATAAATATAATTTCGAACTCTAACGTGTTAAGTCGAAACTCGAGACCATTGAAGGAGTAAATGCAAATTCGGTAACTAAAACAAATCCTCTATTGACTAGGAAGATGCTTGTGTATAAATTGTTTAATATCGGCTAATTCCTCTTCCGATGACGAATGCGACAAGCCCCTGTACGATTTAAATTCGACATCTTTCAGCATCGTTTTCAGTATCGAAGCCGTCATTTGACCCCACTTGTAGGGCACCACCGGGTCGCAGTCGCCGTGACACTGCAAAATCTATAAAAAAATAATAATTCGATTCACTTTCGATTGTGCGTTTTGTACTTGTCACGCTTACCGACAGAGCGTCATCGGTTATTTTAGCGGCCGGGAATTGCTTGTTCAACGGCAGCCAACAGGACAAGGCCACCACGCCGCCTAAACGTTTGGGATACGTCAGGGCCGAGAACAGGGCCAAAGCGCCCCCTTGCGAAAACCCGCCCACGACGATCCTATCCGGTTGGATTCCCGAGGAAATTTCCTTTTCTATTAGCGTGTGAACGTTCTTCGACGCCGCTTTGATCCCTGCAAAGGTATCGCTCGTGTAATTAAAACACTTTCACACGATGTATTATACAATGCAGCCTTGATGAATTATGCATTGGGAAAGTCGCACGGTACAAATTCGTGGAATTGGGAATTCAATTATTCACCTTGTTCGTCTTCGGGGCCCGATTCGTCCAACGTTTTGAGATCGAACCAGCTGGGCATGTGGAATCCTGCGTTTAACGTAACTGGCATCGTAGGGGCAGTCGGGCAAATAACTTTGACGTGCGGGGGCCGCACTATAGCCATAGCGCTCGCCCATCCTTGCCTGGAAAGCCCAACGTTTCAGAATAGATTTAAAAACAGTAAGGTTTCTTTTAATTTGTTGCAAATACCTAAATTGAATTAAATCGTATGCACTCACCCCGTGTCTCCTAATCCGTGCAGGAATATCAGCTGAAAGAAACGTTCCACACTCAATAAAATGTAGTCTTTATTTCATCTAAAACTTACTGTTCCAGTGTGTTTGGCTGTAGCCGCGATTACTACAGGCGCTGCCATTTTTTTCGGTATTCGTACGGTTGACCTCTATTTAAATGCACATTTAAACGCTACGATAGCTTATCGGTGAATTTACTCGCAGTAATGTCGAGCCACTTCACCAACCACCGACTGGGAAATAGAAAAGGAAATATCCGATTCCGATATTAAATTAATTGACGGACGGCTGCGTGTTGACTATTGCGTCAACTTTTGACAGTTGCTTGAAGTTTAAATGACAAGTGACAGCTAGTAGTGACTAGTTGTTCGTAGCACGGGTTGTTATGTAACATTACTGATATGTAGGCAACCAGTAATACAATAGTGATGCTGATTTAGATTTTTAATAATGGGTGTGATAAATTTTGTATAGTTTTCAATATTGTTGAAAGTTTGAATTGGTTTGGATTAAATGTAGTGTTTTTTTTTGGTTGGAATCGTAATTAAAAATTTACGGAGATGGATTTGGAGACACGACGATCGGGCAAAAAAGAAGCCTTATCATTTTATGAACGAAATTACATTTGAAGTCACCTTTGCATTAATTTTATCCTATTTATAACAATCCTTGGAAGATATCCAATGGATCAAATCAGTTATACAAACAATACGAATTTACTTGAGGTACTGTTTTTTCGAGCTTAATAAATCAATAATCACGAGCGACTAGATTCGAACACGAAATCTACGAAAAAAAACAGAGATAAACTCAAAAACTCTTGGCTTGACCTCCGATTAATTCGATAAAATACCGAAATCGAAAACAAACGGATTGTTGGATAAATTCCATCGAGTTTCCGACGAGCAGTTCGCGTTAGTGGTACCGATAAAATATTAAAAAAAAGTGCAGTGTTTCTAATAGATAATTGCCCATTACATCAAGTATGTCAAGCAGTCGATTGTTATCTCCCTTTCATCGTTACGGGAAGAGCGCGTCGTTCCGATCATTCCACGGGCAGAAATCAGCTGTGTCAGTCGGGCGTAGCGTCCGGTCTCTCGTCGGCAAGGAGAATCGAAACATCCGCGCCATGTCTTCGCACCAGCCCTTCCTCAACCTGGACAACATCAATCCCAACGTGAAAGTGATGGAGTACGCCGTGCGCGGCCCCTTGGTCATCAGGGCCGGCGAGATCGAGAAGGAATTGGAAAAGGTGAGAAAACGCGCTCGTCATTTTTGGCCCCGCTTATTTTGGAAGTTTGTCAAATCCTATGACCGATTTTCCGGTGCGTTTTTCGGTCGTGAAGGTTAAACTTTTGAATTGGTGGATTGGATTTTCCATAACTAACTTGATTTTTGATGGTCTCGGTCACGGATGTATTGATTGTGTAGATTATAAATATTATCAAGGACACACTTGATATTAATCATTATTAATAAATTGATTGAAATTATTTTTTATTGCAACAAATAGGTTTATTGACAATGAAATGGAATCTCATTTACACTACAGTGGGTGTATGTAAAACACATACAGGGTGAATCAAAATATAAAGGTCTACAGGGTGGTACAGTTTCTAATTTAAATGTGTTTTCAAGCTAAGATTTCTGTAAACATCCTTAACTTTTGCTCTTATTTTATTAAGTATTAATTTCCTTACACAATATTCTTATCTGTGTATTTAATTTTCGTATTTTATCGTAGATTTTAAATAAAAAACATCTCGACAGCAATACCTACACAATATTTTTCATCGATGTTCAAAGTACATTTCTCAATAGAACTTTGAACAAATATTTGAACTTTTATAGCTTCATTTTTATTTAAAAAAAAATGACGTAATAATATTGAGAACTTTTTTGCAAAATATCGAATTTTGATGAATACTTATAGACCATTATTATACAGATAAGTGCAATTTTTAAGGTCTATGGGTGCAACAAAGACAACTTCTATTAGTTTCGTGTAAAGGAAAAAGAAAGAGCGATATTGTGGGATTGCAACTCTCTCACTCTAACTACTGTTATTTTAATAATTTTTCCTTGTTCGACTCATAGGATTGACCAATTATGAACAAATTTGTTTGTTGTTGTATAAAATTCTTTATCGCTAATGGCTACAAAGTACAACAATTATGAAAGTTAGTAATAATTAATATTGGCACGATAATTGTGTAATTTATTTCGACGGAATTTTTTATTTCAATTCCTGCTTTGTTTTTGGAAATATTCCAATTTTCACTAAACAAATAATCGAATCATAAAAATCGGTCATAAAATGTACAAATTCCCCGCATAAATAATGCAATGAATTTCACTACAACGCTCCTAAAACACACGAAAAAAGGTAGATAACATTGTGAAAGCCGAATAACAAAGTACATATTCAAAATGCTTTATCGTTTCTATTTATAAACAAGCTTTTTTTAATATTTCATCCGTTTATGTAACGCAGTTTCGACCTTGTTTAACTTAGTTGTTACCAATTAAAATTTAATGTATACCCATTAGCTCATTTTTGATAATATAATTAGGTACAATAAAAAAATCGATCGTGAAAACGCTATCTAATAGAACGAAGATAATTTACCTACCGCATTAAACTCACACCTTTCGAAATTTATTTCTAGGGCGCCAAAAAACCTTTCAACGAAGTAATCAAAGCCAACATCGGCGACTGCCATGCCATGGGACAACAGCCCATTACCTTCATCCGCCAAGTACTGGCCCTCGTCTCCTATCCCAAGCTTTTGGACGACAAAAACTTCCCCGAAGACGCCAAGGAAAGGTACACAACACAACAACAACCCATTTCAATTTACACTAAATACTCTGTATCTACTCTGCTCTGCTCTTTTTATCTATTCTGATCTACTCTGCTCTGCTCTGTGTCTGCTCTACTCTGCTCTAATACTACTCGGCTCTTATATTCATATTTTTTGACTGATTTTAGGGCGAGAACTCTATTAGAAGGCTGCCGTGGCGGCTCGATGGGCTCCTACACCGATTCCCCCGGCATAGAAGTGATCCGAAAGCACGTCGCCCAGTACATCGAAAAGAGGGACGGTATCCCGTGCGATTGGCAAAACATCGTAATCGGCGGAGGTAATAATTAAAAAAAAAAACGCTTCATTTTAGATACAATCGAATAATACACATGGTACTTTTAGGCGCCAGCGATTGCATTAAGAACGTCCTAAAACTGCTCATTTGTCCGATAAACGCCAAGCAACCGGGCGTGATGATACCCATACCGCAGTATCCTTTGTACTCCGCGTCTCTGGCCGAATTCAACATGGCGCAGGTCGGGTACTACCTCGACGAATCCAAGCATTGGGGACTCACCGTCGACGAGCTGGAAGTACGTTTTACGCGGTTTAATTCCTCCCTCGTGGAGACCTAAACGGGTAACGTTGTCGTTGCAGAGATCGGTGAGCGAGGCGAAAAAGTACTGCGTGCCGAGGGCGATAGTGATCATCAACCCGGGCAATCCCACCGGCCAGGTGCTCACCAAGCAGAACATCGAACAAATCATCAAATTCGCCTACAAAGAGAAGCTCGTCATTTTGGCCGATGAGGTCTACCAGCACAACATTTACGATCCCAATTCCAAGTTCCATTCGTTTAAGAAAGTGAGTATTACACTCCCGAATCGCGTAGTTACGTGTGGGTTATCATAACCCGTTGTAGGTTATGACGGAGATGGGCGAACCGTACAACAAAATGGAACTGGCCAGCTTCATGTCGGCTTCGAAGGGTTTCATGGGCGAATGCGGGCTCCGCGGTGGATACGCTGAAGTAGTGAACATGCAAGCGGACGTTAAAGCGATGTACCTCAAAGCCATCACCGCCATGCTGTGCTCAACTACCTTAGGACAAGCCTGCTTGGACGTCATCGTGAACCCCCCGAGAGAAGGGGAGCCCAGCTACCAGCAATTCGTCAAGGAGAAAACCGAAGTGTTGGAATCGCTGAAGGTAAGCGCTTTGATTCACACGCCTACCGTCGAATGCGAGCGTTGTAATTCGTAGTTGAGGGCCAAAATGGTGGCGGACACGTTCAATTCGATGGAGGGTTTCTCGTGCAACCCGGTGCAGGGCGCCATGTACGCGTTCCCGCAGTTCAAGTTGCCGGCCAAGGCGGTGGAGGCGGCGCGGGCGAAGGGCCAGGCGCCGGACGCGTTCTACGCGTTCGAGTTGCTCGAATCGACGGGCATCTGCGTGGTGCCCGGCTCGGGTTTCGGCCAGCAGCCCGGCACCTATCACTTCAGGACGACCATCCTGCCGCAGACGGACAAGCTGAAGGATATGTTGAACAACTTTTCGAAGTTCCACGCGGGATTTTTGAAGAAGTACAGCTAAAGTAAGAGGGATTCGGGCCGGTTTTACGACTGTGATTGAAAGATATTATCTCACTGCATTTGGCAAACGATTCTCGACATTTGGGTTCATGTTGATTTCTTTTTACACGAGTCTTTATTTGACGTAACATCTTGTTATTTTTTATTATTTTAATTATTGTATGGACCTTTTTGTCCGAGTATTTTTGTCTTAAATATAGTGATATTTTGAGTCGTCGATTTTTTAGGTATATTTTATTGGAAGTATTTAAAACGCAATATGTAAGTTAAAGTAATTGTTGGTTAAAATGTATATACGTACTAAAATAAATAACTTCTCTCTATATTAAAGGATTAATATTATCAACTAGGTTGTTTACGAGGATTGAATATATAGAATTCAAATATTATAAACAACTTATATTTTCTGTAAAACAGACAAAAAATTTTGCTCCCAGATTATTTACACAGTTACATTTATCGTATTTGCAACAAGACCATAACGAATATTTATTTGAAGTGCCGATTAGTCAGTGCTGTAAGTACATATCTTGTCTAGTCTACAAGCACCTTTCACCGCTAACTGATCACATAAACATCCCTTATTATCGATAAAATCATAGAATTAAATAACAATTCAATAAAATTTAAACTAAAATAAACAGCATCTCTGATTTTTCAGAAAAAAATTGCAATATTAACAACGTTGGACGGTGTTTCTGTTATTTTTTAATACGTTAATCGAGTGGAATGTTGAAAATCAGGGATTTTTTGTGTTTTTCGGAACACTAGAACAAATTCCTTTCGCCAGATTTTTTGTTACAATAATTTTTGATACATTTAATTGATATGGACGCAGTAGGCGGAATTCTTTCTAGCATTCAAATCTAACAATCTTTGACGAGATAAATATTAGGGTAGAATATTTACATTGTTCGGAATGATTCATTTATTCACAAAATGGAACTAGATTATTCCCGAAAAAACGCATTTCCGCGTCTATCCATGGCACTTTTTAATACCCAAACGGACTTTCGTGCTAGTTCCATTCGAATTAACATTTTTTTAGTATCTCTCACTACTATCTCGATAAAAAAATATATTTCTCGACATCGACTTAATTGTAAACATTGAAAAAATAAATTATATTACTGGCTAATTATCTTAATTTTTTATAGTATAATACAAATACTTTAATTGAATCGGACCTTTTGAATGTAGAATTGAAGGAGTGTATCATATCACCCCCTATATCAATTATCTTCTTAAAATAATTTTGGCAATTTTAATCTATTCAAAGTGTACTTTCGAATAATAATAAAAAACACCGCGCTTTAAGAAGATAAAGAGCTAAATAATATTTACATAAACAAATGCGAAGGTTTTCAAATTTGATAAATTCCCGTCCTCGAATATAAAAAACAAACGCTATATAAAAATGGTTCTATCAAAAACATTCGTATCCATTTACATGAATTAGTTCAACTGTAAAAATCAGGTCTCTGTACAAGCTCGTTTCTTTCGATATCATCTATTATAGTCGAGTGTTACGTTAAAAATTGGAATTTTAATTCGATATCAGCAGTCTTCTTCAACTAATTTTTGGGTGTCCTTGCCCGTGTCTTGTTGCGCCGGGTCCAGTTCTCGGTGCCTCACCTGCACCTGCGGCGACGACAGGTGTTTCACGCTAGACGGCGCTATTACGGCGCTCGGCGGCTCCACGAACGTCTCTCCCTTCTGCTTCGGAAACTCCGAAGATACTTCGTATATCGCTGCAAACGGAAAAAGACTTTGTATAAAATGCGTGAAAAAATAACGGTTATTTTGTAACGGTCGTTACTGCACCTCTACAGCAAAAAATCGATCCCCGTCTCTATTAAACATCTGTCATACGAACTGTCATAAATGTCAATTTTGATTCGTGCATGGCGGACAAGATTTAACCATAAAATTCCATCTGAAATCTGTTTTAATGACAAAGTGTATCTGCTGAAATTTTTTTACTTGATTATACGGCTGAAAATACCATTAGTAGTCGAAGAAAATTGAAGAAAAAGAAGAAGAAATGTCAATTTTGATACTCTTCGTTTACGTATCATCGAACGCATCTTAAAGTCCCACCTATTCGCGCCTAAGGTAAATTCGGTTTAAGAGAGCAAGTGAGGTTACCTCCGCTTCCGTTCGGTATGGCTTCGGGGTTGTTTTGCACGGCGTCGTACATGGGATTATGGAAATCTCGGTTCTTGTTGTTGCCGCTGATCGCGTCCAAACTGTACGCCACGTCCACCGGCTCCGACGGCCCGCCACCGTTGTTGAACGTATTCGAGCCGAATTCCACGTTCGTCCCTTGCCTGAACGACACGCTTTGGCTGCTCGCCAGGCTGCCCAGACCGGATCCCTTTCCGCTGAAAAAAAAAATACACCATTAGCTTTGCTACAATCGTCGATCGATGCGACATACAAAGGCCTCTTCCTAACGAAGAAGTACACTCCAACGCCGGCGCCGAGGAACAACAGCACCACCACGATGGGAATGACGATGGCGGCGGTGTTGCCGGTCTCGCCGGCCCGACTGCGCTCCGAATGTATCTCGCAGTACTGGCCCTGGTAGTCGGGCAGGCACTGGCACTCCAGATCGTTGTTCTCGTCCTCCTCTTTGCACACGCCGCCGTTCTCGCATTTGCACACCCTAGGCAGGGGCCGCTCCCGCTCGGCAGCCGCGTCGCAAATTATATCGGCCTTTATCTTCTGGCTGGCCACGGAGGAGTCCGGACAGGAGCACCGGTGGCCCTGCGGCACCAGCAAGCACAAGTGCGAACAGTGGTTGCTCGTGCACGGGTTCGATATGGACGTGTTGTATTTCAAATGGTGGTAAACTAAAAGATGGATACAACAGATTAGAGAATTTTTACCTTTAATTTGAATGATTCGATTACCTTTTACGCTGGAAGGATTCAGCATGTCTCTCTGTATGGTAACGGGCACGCCCCGGCCGAATTTGTCCTGCTGGATCAATTCGCCGGTGTTCTTCGTCACCCAATAGATGTTCGATTCGAACACGTCGAGGGAAATGGGATGCTTGAGCGCGTCGCCTCTGATGACGATCTTCCTGTTGGTGCCGTCGCTGCGCATGCTCTCGATCAGGTTCAGCTTGGTGTCGACCCAGTACAGGGTGTGATCCATGGCGTAGTCGATGGTCAGGCCCGTCGGATGGCGTATCTGGTCGACGATCAACGGCTGGCGCTTCGAGCCGTCCATCCAGCAGACTTCGATCTTCGGCGACGATCCGGAATCGGTCCAGTACATTTTCCCCAATTGCGGATCGACCACCAACGACGAGGGGTACTCCAAACCGACGTTCACTAAAGATCTCTTGTAGCGACCGTCGGTTTTGGCGACCATCACTCGCCCTTTCGGCTTGGCGCTCCGGTCGATTTCCGTCCAGTAGAGATTGTTCGCCACCCAATCGATCGATATCGCTATCGGTTTGGCGCCGCCTTTGATTTCCAGATCTTGCGCGAATCCAGTCTTCACGTCGCCGTTCATCGCGTTCACCATGTACGATCTCTTTATCGTCTTCTGTCTGCTATCGGCCCAAAAGATCATCTGCATCGACGGATTGTAATCGACGGCGTCGATGCGCTGCTCCTCGGTTATGATGCCTCGTACGTCGCGTTCTTTCAGCTCGAACGAACGTATTTCCCCGCCGTTCGCTACCAGCAGAGTTATATCTTCTTTTTCCGCTTTGCACACGCCCGACAAGTCGTCGGACAATTGGAAACCGGCTCTGCAATGGCACCCGTAGGTGCCGTTGAAGTTGACGCAAATCTGCGAGCAGTGGTGCGCTCCCGTCGCGCATTCGTCGACGTCCAAGCACACCTTCCTGTTCTCCTTGGACACGATGAAACCCGAGTAACAGGCGCATATGTACCCGCCGTCCGTCAGGTTCATGCATTGGTGTTCGCAACCGCCTCGCGTCGCGTCCGAACAAACGTCGTTGTGATGACAACCCAACTCGTCCGAGCTGTCGCCGCAATCGTCGGCGAAATCGCACACTCGCTTCTTGTCGATGCACTGCCTGTTGGCGCACTTGTACTCCATTATGGGATCGCAGGGCTTCACCTGGGCCGCGCACAGCGTCATGTTGTTCTCGTCCGAACCGTCGCCGCAGTTATCTATGCCGTCGCACAACTGGTACTTGGGTATGCACTTGTGATTGGCGCACGGGTACCGCTTCAGCGTGTCGCAATTGAAGTTCGTGCAGAGCAACGGCGACTCGTCGGAGCCGTCGCCGCAGTCGTCGGTGCCGTCGCAGAGGTCCGCCTGGCTGGCGCACAGCCGGTTGTCGCATTGGAAGCGCGACTCGGGACAGTAGCGGCCGCCGGGGAAGCGCGGCGGGCAGTTCTTCTCGTCGGACATGTCGCGGCAGTCGCGGTCGCCGTCGCAGCGGAAGTACGAGGCGATGCAATGGCCGGAGGCGCATTGGAACGTGCCGTTCTTGCATTGGAAGCCGTCGCAGGCGCTCTCGTCCGAGTTGTCGCCGCAATCGTCTTCGTGGTCGCAACGCCATCGCGACGATATGCACTTGCCGTTGCTGCACCGGAACTCCGATTCGGAGCATTCCCTGTAGACGCCCTTGCATTCCTCTTCTAATTCGTCGGAGCCGTCGCCGCAGTCGTCGGCGAAGTCGCACTTCCACTGCTTGGGTATGCACCGGTTGTTCTTGCATTTGAAATCGGTGTCGTGGCTGCAGGCCGGACAGTTTTCGGGCAGCTCGTCCGAATTGTCGCGGCAATCGTCCTTGCCGTCGCAGAACAACCACTTCGGTATGCATCGGTAGTTCGCGCGACCGGGACACCGTTGCCAGCCGTTGGTGCAGTTCTTCTGCCGGCACATGTAGGCCGGCTCGTCGGAATCGTCGCCGCAATCGTTGTCGGCGTCGCACGTCCACAGCTTCGGTATGCACCGGCCGTTCTTGCAGGCGAACTCCGTGTCGGCGTCGCAGGCGCGCTTGTGGCATATCTCCGGGTCCTCGTCGGAGCCGTCCTTGCAGTCGGCGTCGCCGTCGCACCGCCAGCTCGTCAGGATGCAGCGGCCGTTCGAGCGGCACTTCATCTCCAATTCGGGGCACTCCTTGTCGCAGTTGCGCTCGTCCGAGTTGTCGCCGCAGTCGTCGGTGCCGTCGCAGATCGTCGCCGACGGCGTGCAGTTGAGGTTCGCGCATTGGAACATGCCGGCGCGGCATTGGCGCGGCGGGCACGTCGCCGGCTCGTCCGAACCGTCCTTGCAATCCTTCTCGCCGTCGCATCTATCGAACAAAAATCGCACATGTAACAAACAAATTACTCGGTTACAGTACACGGTTTACTTACTGCCAGAACCACGGTATGCACTTCTCGTCGGTACCTTTGCACTGCCATTGGCCGGCCGTGCAATTCGCGATGCAAGTTTTCTTATCGTTGGCCAAATAGAACTGGTTGGGGCAGGCGCACGTTCGTATAGTTTGACCCTCGTCGCCGTAGCCGTCGATGTTGAGGTAGCTAGAAGCGGGCGGCGGGGCGATCAGGCACAGGTGCGAGCATCCGCCGTTGTTGTCGGCGCACGGATTGTAGTAGGGCAGCTGGCGCAGCGGGTGGAACACGTGGATGTCGTACGGCTTGTGGGTGGTGTTGCGCAGCACCTGCAACTGGCTGCCGTCGAACTTGTTCGATCGGCTGATGGCCTTCAGGTTCCAATCGGTCCAGTAGATGAAATCGTCGAAGAGTGATATGGCGAAGACGTGCGGCACCGCCTTGCCGGCTATCACTACGTGCCGGTGTCTGCCTTCCAAATCTACGTGGGCTATGTAGTCCAAATGGGCGTCGGCGTAGTACAATTGATCGGTGAAGAAATCGATGGTTAGAGCGTTGGGCCAGGCGATGTCGTTCTCCCACGTTAGGATCCTGGTGAAGTTGCTGCCGTCCATTCCCAATTTGCCGATGAACGCCTGCAGGTGCCAGGAGGAGAAGTACAGGTAACCGGTGCCGGGATGCACAACGATGGCCCGCGGATCGGGTATGCTGGTCTTCAACGTCTTGCGATTCGTACCGTCCAATTCGGCCACGTCGAGGTTCTTCGAGTGCCTGTCGAGCCAGTAGAGCTTCCTGCCGATCCAATCGATCGAGATGCCCTCCAGGCCGTGCGAATCGTGCCGGATGACCGCCTCCTTCGTCTTGCTGCCGAACCGGCTGCGGAATATCGTCTTGGCGGTCACGTCGCAGAAGTAAATGTACTCGTCTTTCATGTGGTAGTCGAGCGCCACCACATTCATGAGGTCCTGGTGCACTAGGTTGTAAACGCTCGCGTCTAACGACATGTTTCGCACGTAGTACTTGTTGGTGAAGACTATCCAAGCCGTGGTGTTGTCTTTACGTTTGCACGTGTGCTCGTCCAGTTCCCTTTCGTAGTATTCGTCGTTGCATTTGCAGTAGTAGCTGCCGGGCGTGTTGGAGCAATACTGCGAGCAAACGCCGCGCTTTTCTATGCACTCGTCGATATCGGCGCAGGCTTTTCCGTCCTCTAACAATCTACAAAAAAAAATCGGAGATGCAATTGGCGTGTTAATTCTAATGCAAGATGCTTGATTATATTTACTTGTAGCCCTGGTTGCATTCGCAGTAATAGCTGGTCGGCGTGTCGATGCACTTGTGGCCGCATTGGTGTATCTCCACTTTGGCGCACTCGTCGACGTTGCAGTGGAGCGGCTCGTCCGAATCGTCGGTGCAATCGGACACTTTGTTGCACACCAAATTCGAATTGATGCATTGGCCGTTGTTGCATCGGAACTGCGTCGGATCCGCGCACGTTTGGTTGTGTTTTTCTGCAACAAACGATTCGATTCGTACCGATCGAAAGGGAGAGTTTTGTGGTTCGTCGAAAGGGGCTTACTGCAATCGACTTCGTCCGAATGATCGCCGCAATCGTTCTCGCCGTCGCACCGGTACAGGTTGCGGATGCACTTGAAGTTCTGGCAGGTGAACTCGGTGGTCGAGCAGGTCTTGTACTTCATGTTGCACTCCTTGCCCTCGTCGGTGCCGTCGCCGCAATCGTTGTCGTGATCGCACACCCAACCCTGCGATGTGAAAAAAAAACCCGAGTGGAATCGAAGCAAGAAACGCGAACGTTTTGTATTGTCTTACGCTGTTGATGCATCTGCCGTTGGCGCAGGTGAATTGGTCCTCGCTGCAGGGCTGCGGCGTCGCGCAATGGTGCAACGTCGCGTTCTCGTCGGCGCCGTCGACGCAGTCCGGATCGCCGTCGCACAGCCACTTGCGCGGTATGCACTGCGCCCTGCCCCACTCCTTGTTCGCCTCGCACGTGAACTCGTTCTCCTCGTCGCATTTTCTGTCGTCTTCGCCAAAAAAAAAAAAATTCACCAAAATTAATCGATTCATTTAGGAGTGCGAAACGAGCGCGCTTACTGCATTCGTGCCTGTTGTCTTCGTCGCTGTTGTCCAAGCAATCGTTGTCGCCGTCGCAGATGTATATTCGAGGCACGCAGTTGCCGTTGTCGCAGGTGAAGAGGTCCCCGAAGCACGTTCTGCCGTCGCTTTTGCAGTACTCCGGCGGCTCGTCGGCCCCGTCGCCGCAATCGTCGTCGCCGTCGCAGTACCTGCAATCGGAAAATAGGGATAGTTACGGATCACCCAGTTGGGTTACTCTTCCAGACACCGTCCATAAGCTGGTGCGAAATTTCCTCTTAGATTCTAGGGCTACATAACAACGACATATTCCAGTTCTTGAACTTACCACGTGGCCGGAATGCACCTGTGATTGGAGCACCGGATGCTGTTCTGCGGGCAAGTCCTCTCGGCGCAATGCACGGGATCCTCGTCGGAATTGTCGCCGCAATCGTTGTCGCCGTCGCACAGCCAGTACGGCTCGACGCAGATGTTGGTCTTCTCGCACTTGAGGTGATTGGGCGGGCAGGTGGTGTTGCGCGGACACCGTTCGTGCGTCTCGTCGGAGGTGACGTTGTCCTTGCAATCGTTGACGCCGTTGCAGACCTGCGCCATCGGTATGCACCGGTGATTGGCGCAGGTGAATTCGCCGTCGGCGCACTTGGGGTACTCGCAGTCCCGTTCGTCGGAGCCGTCCTTGCAGTCGTTCTCGTGGTCGCACTTCCACGATTTGAAGATGCACCGGCCGTTGGCGCAGCGGAACTCGTTGGGCGAGCACGAGTGGAACGCTGCAGGTGCGTTAGAGAAGAGTGTGACGCCATGAAGGATCATTAGAAGGGATACTTACAGCAATATTTGGTGTCCTCGTCGGAGTTGTCGCCGCAATCGTCTTCGCCGTCGCACGCCCACATCCTGGATATGCACCTGCCGTTGGCGCAGTAGAATTTGCTCGAATCGCAGGTGAGATTTTTGGCGACGCACATCCTACCTTCGTTGACCAGTTTCGTGTTATCGTCGCATTTGCACTCCGACGTACCGTTAGGCGCCGGATGACAGCTCTTCGCGCAACCGCCGTTGTTGATCAAACAAGCGTTCACGCGGCACGTCTGCCTCCTGTCCGAGTACACCTGAATGTCCCGCGGACTGTCCTCCAGCCGTTTCACCATTTCGATCATGTTGGCGCCGGTGTGTTTCTCCGCCCTGTAGACGCCCTTCAGCTGCAGGTCCGTCCAGTAGATGTACCGGCCGAATACGGTGATGGAGAACGGATAGATGGTGGCGGATATCAGTACCTCGCGATTGCGTCCGTTGTAATCGGACCGTTCGATTTTCTCGCGCACGGCGTCCGTCCAGTAGAGCATCCGATCGTCGTAGTCGATGGCCAAGCCGGACGGTTGCGCCAGATTCCTGTCGACGATGATGCGCTTCAGCGAGCCGGCCATGGTGGCTTTGAATATCTTGCCGGCCGTGCCGAATTTGCCCCAATCCGTGAAGAACAGCGTACCGTTGCACGGGTCCAGCACGATGGCGCGCGGTCGTTCGACGCGCGCGATCATCACCAGATCGCCGCCGTCCAAGTTCATGGCGTAGATGCTGCGATTCGACGAGTCCGTCCAGTAGATCTTCTGCTGCGTCCAATCGTAGGCGACGCCCTCCGGATTGACGCCCTTGTTGCGCAGATTGACGATGGCCGGCCCTTCGGGCTTGGTGGCCGGCACCTTGGCGATGCGCGCCCACGGTTTGATCTGCGTGAAGAACAACGTCTGGTGCTGGTGGTCGAAGTCGACGCCGACGACGTTGGTGAGGTTGCCGACGGGCGCGAACGGCACGTTCTTCGATCGCGGGTCCAGGTTGACGGCGCGGATTTCGGTGCGCGTCGTGAACACCAGGTACTCGTTGCCGAAGTCGCATTTGCCGCCTTCGGTGAGGTTGCCGGTGGCGCAGTCGCATTTGAACGACGGTTTGCCGGCGTTGGCGATGTCCGTCGGGAATGAGAAACACAATTGTTCGCAACCGCCGTTGTCGTATTTCCTGCAAGGATTCGATTCGTCCGACGGTTGATTGGTGATGTCGTAGATAACAACGTCTCGTAAATTCGGTAAGTTGATTCGTACTTTGGTAGGTAAGGAAGTGTTGCCGGGTAATTTCGACGCTTTGAATATCGATTTGAGGTTCCTGTCCACCCAATACAAGTCCGATTTGTACATGGCGATGCCTTTGGGATTGGGCAGGTTACGTCTGATGACTTGTCTGTTACCGCCGCTGTACGATATCCTCTGGATCATGTCGAGCTTGGAGTCGACCCAAAACACGTCGTGGTTGTTCATGTCGATGGTCAAACCGGTGGGTTCGCTGATGCCGGACGATACCAGCGGGTACCAACCGGTGCCGTCCAGATTGGACTTGCCGATTTTCGGGTACTGCCCGTAGTCGATCCAATAGAGTATGCGTTTGATGGGATTGACGGCGAGCTCTCGCGGCGCGTCCGTGATCGTTTTCACGATGATCTTCCGGTACCTGCCGTCCAACCAGCACACCTCCACGTAGTTCTCGTGCGGAAAGACGTTGCTGAAGTACATGTTGCCGGCTATCCAATCGATGGCGATGCCTCTGATGCCGTTGCTGCCGATGCCGTCTTTGATGATGTGCTGCAACTCGGTGCCGTTCGGCCGGATGCGGAACACGCCGTTCCAGAAGCCCCTGTTGAACTCCACCCAGTAGATCCAGTTCTCGGCGAAGTGGACGTCGACGTGCAGGATGTGATGGCCGCCGCCGGTGATGGGCACCATCGCCTCCGAGCTGTCCTTGAGGCTGAAGCCGCGGGCGATGTCCAATTGCGAGACGACGGCGAACGATCGGAACGGCGAGCAGTTGATTTCGTTCTTCTTGTAGCCGATGCCGCAGGCGCAGGTCCTCGACCGGCCCTCGGCCGGTATGCAGAGCTGCTCGCAGCCGCCGTTGCCTTGGAGGCAGGGATGGTCGCCGAGCGGTCGTTTGCGGAAGATCGTGAAGGATTTCAACGACGGTTCGTTTTCGAGGATCGTCCGGGGATTGTTGCCGGTCGGTAGGGCGACTTGCACCAGCTTCTCGTAGACGGGGTCCAAGTAGAAGAGCCTGCTGCCGAGGACTCCGATGGATTTGGGCGAGTTGATGCTGTGCTCTTCGGATAGGATGATCTCTTTTCCCATGCCGTACACGTTGATTTTACCGATTAGTGGCGGATTCTCCGTGCTGAAGTAGATCATTTTCGTTTCGATGTCGATCACCACAGCGTCGGGCTTGGTGATATTGGTGAGCAATATCACCGGATTGCTTCCGTCCATGTTGGCTTTACCGATCTTCGGCGGTACTCCGAAGCCCCCTTCGTCGGCCCAGTACAATTTCCCATCGGTGGGGTCCAAGCAAATGGCCGTAGGCGAAGCCACCGACGTCTCGTTACCGTCATTCGACAGTATTATCGTCCTGTACTTAATCTTACCGTCCACTCGAACCACCTCTATGTTACTGGCCTTGCTGTTGCCTATGTATATGTTTCTACCCAGCCAATCGAAGGCGATCGCTGAAGGTGATCCCACTATACCGTTGTCAGCTCCTAACACTTGCGTTTTGTTACCACCGCTGTATGGAGTACTCCATATCGTACACTGTACAAAGTAATTCATTAGTAGTTGCTGATTCATTAGTGGTTGGTACTTACGTTTTCGCCGTCGGCGTCTTTGCTCTCCACCCAATAGATGAGATTGTTCTTCCTGTCGTAGTCGATTTGCACGCCGTGCTCGATGCCCACTATAGGCGTTATGAAACCGGTGGAGCCCTCTCCGGGCGTGATGGGAACGTCGACGATCTGGGTGCCCTTCATGACCAACAAAAAGGTGTTGTCCTCCTCGCTGCACGTGCCGCCCGGGTTCAGCTTGAAGCCCGGCTTGCATTTGCAAGTGTAACCGGCGGCCGCGGACGGCGACAGGAGGCAAATGTGCTGGCAGGGAGCCGTCAGGCAGGGATTGTCGACGACAGGTTGCAGCGACGGGTGATGGACGTGGATGCTCAACGGTTGCGATATCAAATGCGACACCACCGTTTGGTTGTTGCCTTTGAACTTGTGCGCGGACAGCACGCGGTTCAGCTGTCTGTCGGTCCAATACAGGGTGTCCTCGAAGATCGTCAGCGAATGCGGGTGGAGCAGATAGTGGCTGCCGGCGAGGACTTGTTGCCTGCCCGAGCCGTTGTAGTAGCAGAAATCGATAAAGTCCAATTTGGAATCGGCGAAGTACACCCGTTGATTGGCTATGTCGAGGGTCAGACCGTTGGGCCAGTAGATTTTCGTGTTGATGATGGTCGAACGGTTCGTACCGTCCATGCCGACGCGTTCGATGCGCGGGTTCTCGCCCCAATCCGTCCAAAACAGCCATTTCGCGCTGGAATATTCACGACGTTAAATAGCAAATTAAGAGGTTAATAAAATAACTTACCCGGGACTCGGATCTAAACACATGCCCCTAGGTTGGGTGATGTTCTCTCTGACCAACACTATCCTATTCGAACCGTTCTCTTTGGCTACCTCGATGGTGTTCAATTTGGAATCCAACCAATAGACGTTTTTGCCGATCCAATCGTACGCCAAACCTTCGACCAGATCCAATCCGGTGGAGATGATCTCCACCGGGTCCTTGCCCCTGTCGAGCTTCGATATCTTCTTCAATTTCATGTCCGACCAAAATATCGTGCCGGTGTGCATGTTCGAAGCGGTCGCCACCACGTTCTCCACGATGATGGGCACCCTCTCCAAGCCGCTCTCCTTCAAATCGGCCACCAGTATGGAATGTCGATTGGAGATGATCAAAAACGCCGCCGAATGATCTAAAAAAATCAATCAATGGTAGCTGTAGATTAATTTAGCCCATGTGTTTCTTACTGAAGGCCTTGCAGGTGTGCCTGTCGGGCTCCAAGCGGTAACCGCCGGTGCAGCCGCAGTAGTAAGACCCCTTGGTGTTGGTGCATTGCTGCGAGCACAATCCGGGCGGGTTGCATTCGTCGTGGTCCTCGCAGGTCATCCCGTCTTTCGAGAGAATCTCGCCGGGCGGGCACAAACACAGCGGACCCTTCAATCCAACCAATGCAATTACACTTTACATACATAATCGATGCACTTACTTGTGGAGTTTGCTTGCATCCGTTCGAGCAGAGGCCGCCTTGGTGCTGGCACTCCTCGAACGTGCAATCGGGACCTTCGTCGGCGCCGTTGGGGCAATCAGGGGTACCGTCGCAGACTTTGGTGAGATTGATGCATCGCTCGGTGACATCCGGACAGGCCCACTCGCCCGACGGGCACACGAACGGTGGTTTGACGCACGCGTGGATGTAGCTCTCGTCGGAGCCGTCCTCGCAGTCCTTTTTACCGTCGCAGATGTACGCCTGTGGCGAAGGAGAGCGCGCTAGATTAATCGCGATAAGCGTACGATCAGTTACCTTGAAGATGCACTGGGTGCTGTTGCATTTGTAGAAGTTGATGGGGCAGTTGATGTTGCCGCAGGACTCGGGCTCGTCGGAGCGGTCGTCGCAGTCGGGCGTGCCGTCGCAGTGCCACGCCTTCGGTATGCATATGCCCGATTTCTCGCATTGGAACTGCTTCTCCGGGTTGCACTGGTCGGGAGCGATCGAAGCTGGAACGGACAAACGGTTAATACTCGCGTAAATTGTCGTTTTCGATGACTTACGACAGCCGATTTCGTCGCTGCCGTCGTTGCAATCGGGTATGCCGTCGCACTTGTAGCTCTCCTGGATGCACTGCTTCAAATCGTTGCACTTGAACTGGTTGGATTGGCACGTGATCGGCGGGCAGTCCTTCTCGTCCTCCTTGTCGAAGCAATCGTCGTCGCCGTCGCACACCCAATTCTGCGGGATGCAGTGCCCGTTGCGCGGACACGTGAACTGGTAGTAGGCGCACGTCTTCTCCGCGCAGGAATCTCCTTCGAAACGTCGAAATAGAGAGTAGAGAAAAGCTCGAACGAAGGAGAAATGGGGGGGCTTACCTTCGTCGGATCCGTCGCCGCAGTCGTTCTCCGAATCGCACTTCCAGCTGTTGGGTATGCACCTGCCGTTGTCGCAGTGGAATTGCGTGCTGCTGCAGGTGACGTTGACGCAGCCGGTCTCGTCGCTGAAGTCGCCGCAATCGTTTTCGGCGTCGCATTTGAACGTCGCCGGTATGCAGCGACCGGACTTGCACTGGAACTCGCTGGCGCTGCACGTCGGCTCTGTAAAAACGCCGGTTAAACGACCTCAAACGAGTCGGTATACAAGAGAAACTCACTGGTGCAATTTTGGTTTTCGTCGCTGTTGTCGAGACAATCGTCGTCGCCGTCGCACACCCACGACTTGGGTATGCACCGCTGGTTGTTGCAGGTGAAGTCCCAGTTCTTGGGGCACGCCTGGACGGGCGGCTCGCGATTGGGATCCGCCTGGCAGGATTTCTGGTCGTTGGCCAGGCGCTCGCCGTAGGGGCAGCCGCACTTGGCGATCAGCTCGTGCGAGCCGTCGCGGGGAACGGCGAAGCACAGCTTCTGGCAGCCGCCGTTGTCGTTCCAACAGGGGTGCGCGTCGACGATGGGTTGCTCCTTCTCGCTGTAGATTTTCACGCCGTACAGCCGGTTGGTTTGCGGTTCTTTGATTACCGTCTCCTCGCCGGCGCCGGTCAGCTTGTGGAGTTTGATGATGGCGTCCAGACGCCAGTCGGTGATGTACATGAAATCTTCGTGGATGACTATGCTGAAGGGGTGTCGGATCAATCGGGAATTGACGGTTTTGACGTCGGTGCCGTCCAGTTTGGAGTGCTGGACGTGGTCGAGTAGAGCGTCGCACCAGTACAATCTGTCCGTGGCGAAATCGATGGAGAGCCCGTTGGGCCAGCCCAGCGTCAGGTTTTTGAACACTATCAAACCGGTGCCGTCGGTGAGGGTCCTGGATATGTTGGCCGGCCGGTCCCATTCGGAGAAGAACACGAAACCTTTGTTCGGATGGACCACAATGGCCCTCGGCCGTTTCAGATCCTTCAACAAAGTCCTCTTGTAGGTCACGTTGCGCGTGGAGAGCACGTTCAACGTGCCCTTTCTGCTATCGATGTAGTACAAATTCTTCGCCGCCCAATCGACGGCCAGACCTTCCACGCCCTCGTTCTGCGACGCCAGCACGATCTCCTTGTCGGTGCCGTTCCTGTGCACGCGGTAAATCACGTCCTGCAGCACGTCCGAGTAGTAAATGTACTGATCTTTCGCGTCGAAGTCCAATCCGACGAACCGCGCCCGGCCCGACACCACCGGCACGATGGCGTCGCTGAAGCCCTCGATCACCGGATCCAGCACGCGGCCTTTGATGAACCGCTGCTGCGAGTACATGAGGAACTCCTCGACGATGTTGCAGTTGCGCTCGTCGGTGTCCAATCGGAAGCCGATGTTACAAGCGCACCGGAATCCCAAACGCGCTCCCGTCTTCGTGATGATGCACATGTGCTGGCAGCCGCCGTTGTTGTTGCCGCAAGGACTGACGAAATGCGGCTGGACCAGCGCGTGCACGGCCTTGATCGCTTTGGGATCCCGTATGTCGCGCGTCCTGTACACGGATTGTATGCTGCTCGTCTCGAACTTATCCACCGACATGACGCCCTGCTTGGTGCCGTCGGTCCAGTAGATGCGGCTCTCGAACAGAGTCAATCGCGCCGGGCTCGGCACTTGTTGGCCTCGAACCACCAGGAACCGGTTGTTGCCTTCGTAGTCGACGGTTTCGATGTAGTCCAACAACGAATCGCACCAGTACGCTCGCTTCGCTATTATATCCAGCGCGATTCCGGACGCTTTGTAGGCAGCTTCGGATACTATAGACAGCGGATCGGTGCCGTCCATGTTGGCTCTAAGTACTTGCGAACTGTCCGCGATGAACATCAGTCCCATCGTGGGATCTAATGCGATATCCGCGGGGTTCGTGAGGTTGCTGCTCAACGCTATGGCGTGCCATTTGCCGTGCAACTCGAAGACGTCCACTTTTTGTCCGACGGAATCGGCCACGTACAGTTTGTTACCAATCCAATCTACTGCTATGGCGATCGGTAGCCATGAGCCCGGCATCGAGAGGTCTATATCGGGCGTCGAGTAGCCCGGCGTGCTCACTATTTGCTGGGAATGGATCTGTTGAAGATTGATTACGTTTAGTAGTAGATAGAAATCGGGATGAAAGAAGTGATAAGGAGGATTTGATGAACCATGATGGAAGGAATTTAAGTTGTATTAGAGCGAAAAGTAGAGTAGAAGTAGTTCTAGATAGATTCTACCATAAACAGTGAACAGTTCTAATAGAAATTAGTACTAGTGTTAGGTCAGTTCTCACAGAAGCTGAGACATGAGACATGTTTTAACTGAGACATGTTTTACCAGAAACTGACACCAGTTCTAGACCAATTCTACCAGAAACTGCTACCAGTTCTAGAACCCAGCAACTGGTGCCAGTTCTAGACCAAAGCATTGAAACAAACCTTCTTAGTTTTAACATCCGACCAATACATCATGTTCCTGGTATAATGGAAATCCAATCCGCTGGCGCTCGTCGTGTTGACGACCACCTTGAAGTTGCTGCCGGCGGCCGTCATGCTGAAGATGGCCCTCTCGTGGGCGAAGTACAACAGCATCGAGGTGGCGTTCTCGGCGCGGCAGCGGTTCCGGTCGGCGGCGACGTAGCCGCGCGTGCACGAGCACGCGTAGCCGCCGTCGGTGTTGGTGCACAGCTGGTCGCAGAAGCCCCATTCGTTGCACTCGTCGCGATCGACGCACGTCCGATTGTCGGGCGCCAGCTTCTTGCCGTCGGGGCAGTAGCACGAGCCGCCCGTCAGCGACGCCTGGCATTTGTACTCGCAGCCGAGAGACGGACAGGACAATTTCGCTGTAACACATCCACAGTTTAGTAACCTGTAGTAGATACCTCATCGAATGGAGCTTGGAAAAAAAGTTTCCAACTGCCAAGCTACACGTGCTGAGGTAGATTTACATCCACAACCAGTCGTTCATAAATTCAAAAATTTTTGACGTCAACATTGTAAATTATCTGTCACTTATTAAGTGAACGAGGCAGAAAAGGTAGGATAGAAAAATTGAGGTAACATGGCGGATTTTAGTTATACCGATTGCTTCGATTGAGACCGCAACATGGTCGTTTCTATGAGTTGAACAAAGAAAGATAAATAAAATGACAGTTGTCAGAGTGAAAAGTAGCAATGACACAAATGTCACTCTTTCTTTTTTTATACTATTATAAGTGTCTAATGGAAATTGTCTTTATCGCACCTATAGCCTATATAACCTATGAAGCACAGAGTGTAAATCTATTTTATATGGTTTAGTACGTTTAATTTTCTCGGTATAGATGCATTGCGGTACTTACAGCAAGCGGCCTCTTCGTCGGCGTTGTCCTCGCAGTCCTTCTTGCCGTCGCAGAGCTTGCTCTTGGGTATGCACTTGTAGGTGCCCGACGGGGTGCCCTTGGGGCAGAGGAACTTGTTGTCGGGACAGGCGATCGCCGCGCACTTGACTTCGTCGGAACCGTCCGAGCAGTCTTGGTAACCATCGCAACGGTAGGCGCCCTGGATGCAGAGGGCGTTGGCGCATCGGAACTGCGATCCGTGGCAGGCCGGGAAATCTGCGAATGACGCGTTCGTTATTTTCTAATGTCGGTAAAATAGCACGGCCGTATATTTCTGAGGTCTCGAAACGTAAGTCGAAAAAGTAATATTGATGATAAAACAGGGTTCCTAAAACGGCCGCTAGGAGGCGATGTTGTAAACGATTACGGTTTTTTGCGTACGAATTATATAGAATTAGCATTAAAAAAGGTTCTACTCAAACTAAAAATATATACAAAATATAAAAATATACTTAAATTAGCGATGATTTAGTTGTTAACATCATGCCTCACGTATCTTCGGTGAAGGTATTCCTCCATTTTCTCCCCGAAATGTCAAAAAATAATTTTTGAAGTTTTGACAGCTCGAACTGTCGTTTCACACAACCGCGATTTATATGCAGCGCAACGCTGATTGGCTGAGATAAGTTCTTCAAATAACGGAACACATTCTCTAATGCATAAGCATAAGCTGTTTCGAGACCTTAGAAATATACAGCGGGTGTAAAAGAGTCATGATAGTGACTTACTGCATCCCTGTTCGTCGGAATTGTCGCCGCAATCGTCCTTGTGGTCGCACTTCTGCGACTTTTCGATGCACCGGTGGCCCCGCGAACAGCGGAACTGGTCCAATTGGCAGGACACGCCGGGACATCCTTCTTCGTCCTTGCCCGACCGGCAATCCAGGTAACCATCGCACTTTTTCTCCTTCGGTATGCACGGATCCGTCGCTTTGGTGCCGCACCGGAAATCGTCCGGTTCGCATTCCCTATACGCTGCAATTTACCAGAAAAAAAAAACATATTAGAATACGGCGATTCGCCGGCGATATTTCAGCGGTGTTTATCGACAAGATTGAATCCTAATGGTATTACCGCGTTAGCGAGTGTTTACATCAATCCGGGACGGGAAATGCGCTCTCGATTCGTTCGGTATTCGAGCGATTATTGCCGGTATTGTTTGCTCGCGCCATTTTCCAATTTACCACCGATTCATCCCGCCCGGAATTATATTACTCCGCGTTATAAGGGCTCGTAAAGGAAAGCGAACGTCCCTTTTCGCGGTTACATCGGCTCGTCGTTAATTTTTCCGAGCGCTTCGAGAGGTTTTCCTCGCATTCATTCCAGCCTAATGAAAACTCGGATGAATAAGCACGTAATTCTCTAATGTAATGTGTCAGTCTGGATGTTGCATTTTATTAGACACCCTGTATATAGTGGCTCGCCCTGTTTAGAGGGATCGTTTAATATGCCGAATGGTAGAAGTACTAGTGCAGTATAGATTAAATTTCCGAAGTAATTTCTTCGGCGAAGGTAAGTTTAATGAAATAGCCGGGAACCGATATCGATAAGGAAGGTTTTAATCCCGCGCGGATTCGGCCGGGATCCCGGCGGAAGCTTCCGATAATAATTGAAAAGGAATTAAACCTGTTCGCTATATACATTCCGCGCCGCGGGGGCGCTATTAATAAAAATCCCCTCGCCCCCGTACCACTGCGAATGCAGACGAATACACTCATCGGCAACGGATTTGTATTTTCGAATTGCACCATCTCGTCGGAAAGGTAAACGAATATCGATGGCTCGGAGACCTTTTTTTATCGGCGGCGATAAAAAGGTCGTCGGATTTTTATTTATTCAACCCCGGCGCGCTTTCGACGCGGCCCGCGGGCCACGTTCGCGAAATATCGATTCGGGGCCATTTCGAATTCAGTTTGCAGTCGTACTTCAAAGTTATGTTTCGGTCGCGAATTCGAGTAGAGAGCGGGGGCACTTCCTGTTGCTAACGTGCGCTCGTCGCCTTCGAATAGAAGTTTTTTTCCAACCACCCTGTTAGTCCCAGCATGCTGGAATTGCCCTCATTATTCTATTCCTCTTTCTCTCTACCTTCTAATCTAACCTCTTCTCTATTCTCTCTGCTCTGTACCCTCTACTCTCTGCTATATTCTCACTTCTCTCTAATCTCTATTCTGTTCTCTCTACCTTTACCCTCTTTTGTTCTACTTTTCCACTGTCTATACTCTAGTCAACTCTGTATTGAAATGCTTCATAAAACAACAAGTGATAAAAGGTAAAAGTACGACTCCAAAAGAGTGTTATTATTATTTGGACATCCTGGTATATTTCCGTGATTTAAATTTTTTTTACACATAAATGGAAACGATTCGCAATGAGTTTTATGCAATATCGCAACGATAATTATCCTTTTTTCTTTCGAATATTCGAATGAAATTTCCTCTTATTAAAAAATCCTTTTCGTCCGGGCGCGCCTTTATCGGACCGTCCGCTTCGTTAGCCGTTCCTCTTGCGATTCGTTTTTAATCGAAAACGGAGATCTAATTATTATTGCGAACGTCGATTCCGTTCGCGCGCGGGTAATTAAAAAATATCGCTTTTGAAGAAATATTAAGGGCCGTTTTCGGGCGGAGGTGCCCGCGCTAATTGAAAGCTCGTATAAAGGGAAGAAAAGTAATGAATGGAGTTTTCGATGTACTTCTGTATTATACAGGATGAGACATTACTTATTTGATAATTAAAAGTTAAGTTGTAACAAAGCGTGCTGGAAATATCGGAGTTGCTCCGCGTCCAGGATGTGAATATTTGGATAAGAGAAAAGAAGAAGGAAAGTTTGTATATCAATGTGTCCTAAACCTTTGGTTTTTGGAGCTATAGGGTGTTACAGTTTTAGAAAAAAAAACTTTTCTTATCATAATTTGTTTTTACTCCAGATACTTTTATGAAATTTTGTACTTTTTAATTATTAGGGAGCATATTTTGAGGCAATCTGGAGTACACCCTGTAGCTCGAAAACTAAGAGGTTTAGGACATAAATAGATATAAACTTTACTTCTTAAAATCATCCAATATATTCACATCCTGAAGTATCGACACTCAATTAATTAACACCCTGCATACTTACCACTTATAGTACAATAGTTTTATTTTTATTTAGTCAATTTCGGTATATTCTCGAAGAGAATAAGGGAAACTAAATTTAGAAAAAAAAATAAACACTCACTGCATTCGGTTTCGTCGGATCCGTCTATACAATCCACGGTCATATCACAGCGGTAGTGCGGCGAAATACAATAAGTTTTGTTCCATGTGTAATGTCTACAGGGAATCTGTCCCTGTTCGCATTCGGGAGGCGCTGCAACAAAAAGACAAACGAAATTGAAACACCACATACGAGGTCCACTCGATTAATTCGATACACAAAACATATTACGAGGTGCTGTCGATTAATTCGATACATAAAGCAGATTACGAGGTGTAATTAATTGATTCAATACATAAAACAGATTACGAGGTCCTGTCGATAAGTTCAACAAGTTTAGATTGTTCTTTTTTCTCAATATTTCACCCATAAATTAATCGATTAAGCAGGTAAATTAGCCAAGTAGATTACAAGTAAATTTTTGCGAAAAAATCGTGTTTGAGGTAATTAAATTCCATCGGGTAATAAGCAATTTCATAATTCCCGAGACGTACACTGCAAGTTTAGCGTATTTGCCAGCGAGCGAAGTCACTTTACTGGCGCCTTTGAAATGCTAGCCGGTTTCGGGAAAATTCTCCTTCCGGTAAAGGGATTATCGTCGTTCGGGAGTTCGGAGAGATTTCGGGGAATTGTTGGTTTAATTAAAACGCCGACGAATAGAACAAAAAGTCCGGAGTGCATGGACTCGAACAGTGTACGGACCGCCAAAATGTACTGCCTATAACGATGTTTTCTTGGTACATAATAAAATGTGTTTCGATTCGTAACGTATCATCCATTTATTACTACAATACCTATAAACCTCTTGAGCGAATGTATGCATTTCGAAATGCACTTTATCGATTCTCCAGCCGTTTGTCGTGAATGTGAAACATCAACAATCGGCTTTTATTCGTTTCTCGAGTTAGATATTTCTGAAACGTCCATTGAACTGCGAACGTATCCGATGTGATGTATAGTATAAGAGAAGACGTATGCACGGAGATTGGGACCGTCTAAAATCCATAATTCTCGTATGATTTATGCTAAACTTTCGATTTACGCGCCCGTAAATCTGCATCCTTATCGAACGTAAACGGTCCGATGAAACGTTTGATGGACGCGCGCGGAGATAAAGAAACCAGAAGCGACCCTGGAAGTGAATCTGCGATGGGAAATTATTTGGCGTGTGCGTTCTGTCGGGACTAACGCGTAGTGTCTTTTTCTCGTTATTGGATCCTTCGGGGTTTAATAGAAATGGATTTTTTTTTTCAGAAGATTCATGAAACTATTAAGTGGGATATAAATACACTGTGAGTAAAAAATAGTGAGCATTTTCGTTGTAAAAATATTGGGGGTTTCGACGTTTTATGATGTATAATAATAGAATAAAGAATGTTGAAAGTTTCAAAGCGCAAACAGTGATTGCAAACGGCTGTAGCGAGCGAATTAAATTATCGAAAGAGCGATCAAAAATCAAACTCGCGCTGCATCGGTGCCCCGTTTCCAGTTCATTTGCTAATTGAATATCAATAGACAAATACTCCGAAAAATATCGCTTTTTGTGTAAGCGAATTATTCGCTGCATGCAAATCGTTCGACGTATGAAATTAATTAAATCGCAGGTGAGCTGCGCAAATCACGTTCATCGGAATTAATGGCGATCCGGCCTCGGCGTGTTCGTGCTTTATGCTTTTCATATTTTTAATTGCTAATTACATACCGTTCCGCAATTACAAACGGCGCGTATATTTTAATTGAACTGCAGGATACAGTTTCATGCGTCGCCCAATTTGCAAATATAGCGCTGCATTTTATTTTATTATTAAGGTATATTAGTAGCCCGATGGCGAACGGAGTATATTATCAATCGGAATTTGTATACTTACGACAAGACTGTCGCTCGTCCTCGGCGTTTTCGCAGTCCGCTTGGTAATTGCATAACCAAAGGGACGGAATGCACTTGCCTTCGGGACATCGGAAGGACCCGAAAGGACATATGATGCCGCTCGTATCACCTGGAAAAAGATCATTTTATTAACACACACAATCGCACTAAACAGTACAAACAAATTTGGCAACACTGTATTTACCTACAAGTCCTCAGATCTAACGAAATTGTATTGATTCTGGCAACGGTGTATTTACCTACAATTTCTCAGATCTAACGAAATTGTTCAAATTTGGCAACAGTGTATTTACCTAATATTCCTCAGATCTAACGAAATTGTACTGATTCTGACAACGGTGTATTTACCTACAATTCCTCAGATCTAACGAAATTGTTCAAATTTGGCAACAGTGTATTTACCTAATATTCCTCAGATCTAACGAAATTGTACTAATTCTGGCAACAGTGTATTTATCTACAATTCCTCAGATCTAACGAAATTGTACTAATTTTGGCAACACTGTATTTACCTAGAATGCCTCAGATCTAACGAAATTGTTCAAATTTTGCAACACTGTATTTACCTACAATTCCTCAGATCGAACGAAATTGTACTAATTCTGGCAACAGTGTATTTACCTACAATTCCTCAGATCTAACGAAATTGTACTAATTCTGGCAACGGTGTATTTACCTACAATTCCTCAGATCTAACGAAATTGTACTAATTCTGGCAACACTGTATTTACCTACAATTCCTCAGATCTAACGAAATTGTATTGATTCTGGCAACAGTGTATTTAATTTTTTTTTGAAAGTGTGGCAAAATCGGAGAGGTTTAGGATTAATTCTTGACCGCGATCGCGTAAAACTGTAGTACAAAAAATCCGTCGAAACTCGATTACCGAAGTTGGCTCGAGAACGTCGCAGTAAGAGGCCCGGTGTGTAGTGGAAAACAAATTCCGAGTAATTTCGTTATGCATCCGGCAGTTGGCGGGTCGGGCGGCGGGCGGTTACGCGGGGAGAATTTTAAATTGGAGTCGCCGACGGGCGACTTCAAAGGGCCGCTCCATCGCAAATACCGAAATACTCCCGGTTCCCGAAGGAAATATTTCCATCCGAAACCAGCGCGCCTAATTTCTGGGCGAATTTCCGCGCGGCCGGTCGAAAAACTTTTCGCTAATTATAAGCAAACGGCGGGATTAAACCCGGGCTCGCGAGCAACTTCGATGGGGGTTGAAAGTTTCTTTTCGGGTAATTAGCTGTAGATTTGGCGACGCATCAGCCGGTCGTAATTATTCGCACCGGCTTCGTATCGATTGGATCCTGATTAGCGTATGTTGGATTAAATTTTAAGCGGATCCCTGTCGACGGGACGATCGATTAAATCGGGTTAAATTCGTTTAAAAAAATTGTATAGAGGCGCCCGATAAGTATCACTATTTCTGACGGGCAGTGTGTATATAAAAAAAACGAAGTGCGTATAGCTTCAATATTCATTAATTCCATTACTCTTTCCGTGTTATTGAATTAGGCTCCCCGAATATACCCGAGGTTAACATGAATTAAACAAGTGTTCAATCCGGCAAAGGACTATTTTTTATTCATTTATACGTAGAAGCAGAGGGAACACTTCTTGCCGTCGAAATGTAGCGAGTTCAGATCGAATTTGCACCATTTCCAACTTCATCTTACTTAGAATTCTCCCGGAAAAATAAGGTGTGAATAGTGTAGTGCTGTTTCTGTGAGTCCTGATTCAGTTCGAATTCTGTTCTTGATCAGTCCTGTATTTATAAGTCCTGATTCAGTTCGAATTCAGTTCTTGATCAGTCCTGTATTTATAAGTCCCGATTCAATATGACTCAGTTCTAGTTCGGTCTAAATTCAGTCCAAATTCAGTCCAAATTCAGTCCTAATTCAGTTCCAAAATTTAGTTCTGATTCAATTCTGGTTCAGTCCTGATTCTCGGACTAAATTCAGTTCTGATTCCGTATGTCCTGATTTAGTCCTTGTGCGGCAAATTTATGCATTTTCGAGCTCGATAAATTTGTTTTTTATGGTAACGCCGGCCGTTTTAGGGGAAATAGAGTAAACTCCTGGGGGATGTATAAAACACGAGTAAAGGGTATAAAAGAGAAAAACGAGGAATTCTCGATTTTCGCAGAAATACCTGCAACAATACGTTTTATCGGCGAATTCTTTATTAACCGATTCGAATGGGTATCGCGTAAATACGAGAGTTTGCGAAAAAGTAATTTATACTAGGGTAAAAAAATAAGTAATACGCATGTAATAAATAAAGTTTGCGAATCGAATTTGGTGTATTAGAAAGTCGCCGAGCGTAATTATAGCTTACCAGGAAGACCGTTTTTGTATACGAATACATTCGTACATAAAGAAACGAATGATTTATTTCAATTAGCATTTCGTACATGCTTTTACAGACTTCCTAACGGTACTCTTTGTTCTCCTTGACCTTCAGAAAATGGCTGATATTCTCATTTCTTTGCGGCCGTAGAGCATGAAACAATATTAACTATACACGTTTAACCGCTCGAGTAACCTACATTTCTAACAATATCGCTGATATTTCAGTCCACTTCGTCAAAAGAAGATAATTGCACGAACGTTCCGCGAATAACAATTCGTTTTTTTTTTATTCTCGCTCAATATTAATAACAAGCCACCCTGTATATTAGAACAAAGTGGCTCTTCTTCGTCTCTTTCTCCCGCGGAACGTATCCAATTTTCTTTCCCGGTGATTTATCGGACGAATCTAGGCAGGAAAAACTACAAGAAAAGTCGTTTATTATTAATGCCCGGTCCAAATTGAAATTGAATATTGTCTTCCCAAAATGGCGAAATCCATCCAACTTTAAACTACGTTAATTAACGTTGGTTGATTAGCGTGCGATAACCTGTCGGTGTCCGGTTAACAAATACGTTGATTTATTACCTCTTGATAAACGGATTTGTCATATACGGTATTAATTATTAGCGTGCGCGTGATGGCAGATATTGATTTACTCCTATACGTACACGTAAGTGCAACAAAGACAACTACCATTAGTCTCATATGAAAGAAAAGGAATGCACACTCTAACCACCATGTTATTTTAACAATCTTTCTTTGTTCAACTCGCAGATTTCACCATTTTATACAAACGCATTGAGATGTATTTATTTCGGATAATTGTACACCGGATTCAGGGCGTTTAATTGGACCCTAATGTGCAGGATCCCGGAGTGAGGGATTTATTCTGCTCGTTGCGTATTTTTTTGCCCTCGCTAATGAGAATAAATTTACAATTAAAATCCGGTCGAATATAACCGACGAACCGAAAGGTAGAAGTTACCCGAGAGTCCGAAATTCCTCGAAACAACGAAAAGTTTTAATGTAGTTGCGCGAAGCGAACAGTCGCTTTCCGGCCCTTACCGTCGAACTCATCCGGCCCGAAACGCGGCGATTGCGACGCCCTGTATATAGGGCGATAATAAATTACCGGATCGTTTGTACGTGCGAATTCCCGGCGTGCACAAAGGCTTTCTTTCGGCGCGAGAACGCGCTCCTTTTCCGGCATCGGTGGATATTCTCCGGGAATCGTTCCCGAGGGAATTGCGAATATGAAATATCGGACGGTCCATTTGTTATCGCGTACACGTGACGACGGTCGATGTTGGGATTAGTAAAAAGCGAGGAAGAGGTTCCCAGTGGCGCGGCTTTAATCGAATATAAAAAAAAATAATCCTTATAGTTACAGGATTATAAGATAACTACAGATGGTTTTAGTGCGGACAAATGTGTGTTATTTTTGGAAATTAAGTAGGCACGCCACTGTACGCGTGTATGGGAAAATAAGTTACTGTTAGGAGCAGGCTTAGCGACTGGAAAAAAAAGTAGGGAGAAAGGAAAAGTTAGTCGTGTTTCGAGAGATCGTATTTTAAGCACTCTTGTCAGATGCAGGGGACTTTTTAACGTACGAAAAACGAGATTATAATCGATAAGGTTATTCGGAAAACATCGCAGGAAAATTAGGCGAGCGAATGCCGGCGTTCGGGTGCTGTTTCCTAGGAATTTTCGAATTGCAAAAAGGAATCAACGAGTGAAATGATTTACTTTCGAGAGTCCGGGAGGAAGAGGAATTTTTTAGCGACTCGCCGAGCTCTTTTTGCTTTCGCAAAAAAATAAATAAACGCGGCATAAAATTCATTATCGTTTCGACACGCTACATTTAACATTTAACAAAATCAAAGCTATTTATTCACTTCAAATCATCGAAATCGGTCCACCCTGTACAAATGCAGATATCACGAGCCCACTGGATGATAATTGAATATGCATAATTCACGCGCATTCGCCGAAATTTTAACAACACTCGGCTCGAATCGATAAAAATTGGCCATTTATTGATTACAACTCGGGCGCAATTAGCCTAATGACGGATAAATAGAGTTATTAAATTAACTGCACGGATTAAATTCGAGGCGGCAAGTTGGCTCATCAGCCGAGAAGAAGTTAATTTTATTTCAGCTAGGAAACAAACCGAATTACGCGAGGAGTTAACGAGATTAAAGCGAAGCAACGCCCTGTATATATTTTCGCTCTAATATCCCTCTTTTGAGCGTCGCTCAAACGGCCTCGAAACGGGACAAAGTTGGCCGTTTTGAGCTGAATATCTTCGACAGGCGAACAAAACCGCTCGGAGTCGGTTTGGAGCTTTGCAAACTAACAAAAGCAGGTTGAAACTTCGAACTTAAATGAATTGTTTTGACGGGCAGTGTAGGAAGGAATTTTATTTTTGTGTAACGAATCAAATCGGATATCATCGCGTAAATTTGCACTGGTTCGGTGGAAAAGTCGGCGATGTTTCGCGGCCCTCGCCCGCGTTATGCGTCAGCTACTTTTCTAATTCGGGAAAATTCAACAATCATTTTCCGGGACGTCGGAATAAAGCCATTTAAATTCCGCGCGAATTCCGGGGAGGACTTTAATACGTTACAAAGTTTTAAAGCACTTTCCAGAAACAACTCGACTATTAAAAATTGCTGGATTGCCGAAGAGGAAGAGGAACTTTTACCCTACTTATCTATGCTAATTTTGTGAAACGTGAAATTAATCATCTTTGC